TACACTTGTCCAAACATCATATTGGAAAAACAAATAAATATTAATAAACAATAATTAATTTTAATCAAAATTTCACAGTTGTTTGAATCACTTTGACAATGCCCCAATAGCCAAGTCATTAACAACTATGATACATATAACATTAGTACAAATACATACAGACAGTGAATCATTTGATTAAACAATAACATTGAAGCTTATACACCAACATCATCCACTTCATGACATCCAGATTTASAACAACAACAACAGATGAAGGTCGATCTATTAACTCCTAACAACGTCACTCAACACCTCAACATAATACATCTTGTTACTCCTCTTATCAATGCGAATCGATCAAGATAGCAATCATCATCATTGAACAACATCACACCTGATATCATGAATGCCTTTCGATGCGATGACGCACCAACAATGTTCAACACATACGTTTGATACACCAACAGATTCAGTACATCTACAGGAATCGATCCATATATAATATGTGACTGTTGAACCTATTCTTACAAAGTACAGCTTGCAGAGACATCTTTATCGCATTACACGCCAAGAGTCGCACTCCAACTGCCACCAACATCTCGATAACACCTACAATTGACATACCAACAGACTCAACACATCAAGGTGAATCGATAGATATATTGTACATCACTGCTGAAGCTATTCTTTAGCAAAACATTCAACAACAGCCAGGATGCACTCACATTGTGGCTTCAACTACGATCGTCGCACTCCACTGATCACCAACATCGTCCAACAAACACCTATGACACATGATCAGACTCGACCCATCAAGAAGAAGCGATACATACTATATTCATTGTCGTTGGAGTAATCTTCATCAACTTTGGTCATCAACATTCAACTTCACAGGTAACAACCAAAACCTTGGACCGATCGTCGCACTTCTTCTTCTAACAATAACTAATACCAATCAAGATTATAGTATAGAAATACTCAACATATCAAGATGAAGCGATCAATATATTATACATCACTCTTGAAGTGATTCATAGGAATTACAGTCATTGGACAGCAATGAAACAACGACCAATTACAGCTCACTTGGATCGTCGCACACCAACCAAGGACAAACATCATCCAACAACTCTTATGAACTCCAACAGACTCTTCTCATCAAGATGAAGCGATATACCACATTCTTTGCTGTTCATCGTAATCTATATCAACTCGGATCACCAACATCAACAGCTATAGTGCAACATCTTGATCGATTGTCTAACACCTACTGTTGACCAACATCGTCCAACATTCAACTATTATACACCAACGTAATCATCTCACCAAGATGAAGCGATGCATGAACATTCAACGCCTTTAATTACCAAACTAATAATCCTTGGATCAAAGGCCAACAGTGGAGACCCGGCGCCTATCACAACACGCACGTTAATCAAACAATCACATCATATATGTAGTCACTTGGACGTGCTGGATTATCAATAAGGAGGACATCCAAGTTTTCAACTCTATATATAGATAGTGGATATACCAAAAAGGGAACAAACTACTGGTCACCTCGATCGATCTTGGACCAGCACATGCTGCCCAAGAGATTACAGTCAGCCAGTGTGGACATGGCAGCAAAGCACACCTGTCACACCTATAGTATCACGATCTAGTGATCTGGAGCGACAAATTGGTATACAGGTACCAACCTAGCACGACATCGGTCAACTTGTTGGGCGACATTATTAGTGTTGCCACACATTTCCTGCTCTCAACATCTGCGATACTCTCTCCATTCCACGGACGGGAGGAGAAGTGCCAATACACAACATCTTGACCATTCAGATTGGCGAGCGCAACCAAGACCGACAAGGACCTCTATGGCATCTTCAGCATTCCAGCCAACCCATTTGGCTGACACCAAACATCTATAGTCTTAGCACCAACGTGAGTATCGAGTAGCTTGGGTAAGGAATCATACCACTCTTGCACTCAATTACTCATACTAACTTGACCTTCCACTTCATCTGTAGCGAATGATCATGTTATCAACAATGATGCCACGCAGGCCAGCCAAACAAAGGAGGATAATTCGACTTGTACGATCAGAGATATTTAGAAAACACACAGTCAACTCTCTGATCCTTGTGTTCAAGACACTCAGCCAAAGAACAGGACGACGACATGGACGATGACCTCACTAACACAAATGATGCCTCGGTCAAGACAAGGACTCTGAGAGTATCATGAGCGAAGGTGGTGACGACCAGGACTTCGAACAGATGCGTCAAGACCTTGAGAAGTTGAAGATCGACCATTCAAGAATCGGCAGCGAGCTGGTGGAAGTATGAGCAGCTCACCAACGACCACTCTCAGGACCTTTGCGAGCAACCGCCATCAAGCTACCTTGTCTGTCGACGTCGGTCAACAATCGATGATCCAGTGCTGCGATCATTACTTTGCTCGTGTGTGCTGGAGATGACATCTTTAATGCAATGCAGCATTGCCAATGCTATCCTATGTTTTGTGACATTTTCAGGAACTATTTTATCTTTATATTTAAATATATCTTTACATGAGAAGACTGGGATTGATCCATTCAATCACATCATCCGCCAGTACCACCCACCTGATGATGTGCGCGCACTAATTGATCGACATTTATTCTCCAACAATCAAGACAGGGTGGAGTAGTTGAACAGGACAACACGAGATTACAAGGAGCGCGATACAATGGCCTTAGGTATGACTGTGACAGACGATGATATTAAACAGATGCATGCAACGAGGTCGGCGACAATACTCAACACACTGCAGCGATGGGGAAGAGACCTGTTGGATACAAACAAACGCAATGTTATACCAGTTGAAGACCGACGTCGGTTGGAACTCTACTTCACACAACTCAATATGCAACCAGACAGCGCACGTGGGGATACTGAACCAGACGAACGCACCAAGTCAACACTGGCAAGAGTTGTCGAGAAACATGCGAATGAGCAACGAGTCGAACAACTGAACCATCGACTTGTCCATGATATTGACGACGATGATCATCTTAACCGTGCAGTGGTGGTCAACTCTATCGCCAAGCTTGACAAAGACGTTGGTCGAGTCGACAAGCAATTGGAGCATATCCTGTCTGGTGGAGATCTTGGTAAACTCCCCATCATCGGTGGTGGTGATGGTGGTGTTGCAGAAGATGATGATCCAACCAAGCTAAGAGTTCATGACAAGGAGGTAAGCAAATCTTTGGTTGCCTACTGGGAGAAGATAACAAGCGACAGAGATAGAATCATCAAAGAGACATTGGGAGAGAATCAACGAGAGATTAACAAAGTGGACAACCTATCCAAACAGTTCAACAGGATAACATCTAAAGCAAATCTCAAGAGTATTGATATCAACAATGTTGTGATCAAGTTTGATAAGATGCAACAAGAGAAACAGACACTTGTCGATGCCGTCAATCAGTTTGATCAATCATTCCAACCCGACAGTGTAATCAATCAACTCAAGGAACTGTTCCGTCCATACTCTGATGCATTGGCAACTATTAAACGTAATGGAACAGACGAGATCATTCAGTGAATAAATGACTATTTCTAGAATTGCCAACAACATCCACTTTCCTTTCATAGTCTGGATCAGATCAGCGATCAGCAAAACAACAACATATAGATAATAACAATCATGTCATCACAATACTCGGATATCATTCTAAGAAACGGCTCAACCATCAAGACAGAGACTGGGGAGACTCTGTTTGGAAGTCCCGACGGCTCACCCACATCCATCTCAGTCACATGGACGATTAACACAACGGCAACAGGTGAAAGTCAAACCATCGCCGAAGTGAGTGGTCAAGCAACGAGAATCGGATCGATGGTCTACTGGGACTTTGATATATTTGACATTCCTCCTGGTACTAATTCAACTGTGTTTGGTCATATAAAGACACCCTCAACGATCCCACCAAAGTTCCTTCCAAAGCCTTCCAATCCAAGATGGTTCTTCAGAAACTACTTTGTGCCTGTGGCACCAACTGATACTACAGAGGGACAGATGCTCAGAGTTACATTCTCTGGATTCCGCCTGTTCAGTATTGATAACTTTGCTAGTCATGGAACCAAACCATTTGGAAGTATTGCCATTCCATGTGTAACAATTGATCAGAACCTGGAGAACCGAGTGTAATCTGTTCTCGTAAGATTGAAATAAACATGTTCTTAATTTTAACAACTCTTTATTTAACATATTTATCCAATCTGATTAGTCAGGTCTACGAATTATAGCTCCGAATGGTCCATACGGACAAAGGGTTCGGTGATTTTAACACCTTCAATTCGCAATTGATCATTCTCTTTCCAGTATGCCAACTCGTCGGCACCAATGTCACATCAGGATATCCCAGTTACCATTTGATGATGATTGTGTGGGAGATGCCATATGTTTTTTATTAAATTAATTCAAGTTACCCCTGGTGGGTAATCAAACATTTTGAGTTAACCCCTCCACACTCACACTTCTCAACACCTCTCGCACAACATTGTTGTGTTGTTCATGTTTGTTTACGACGAACCAGATCTTCCAAAGCACAAGACTTAGGAGACACTGGCGACCAGCATAGCAGCAAACACGATGACCACGATCACCTCGTCCATGACGACCACATCCAGACGACAACCTCTTCAATAAGTTCAATTCATTAATCAGGTGCAATCCTTCGTCAGCCTCTGGTCTGACATCAATCACGGCAGTGACCTGCATATGGATGAAGTGCTGAAAGCGGTGAGACAGACGACACCAGCATCCACTCAATCAACACAACTAGTCGACGAAGATCGTCACAATACTGACAGTCGACTTTCACAGTACCTGTATCATCTAACAATCATACTACAACAAACACAGTTCAATCGTCATTGTAACGTGGTAACGGTGCAGGCCTGGCAGCGACAGACAACAGCAACAATAGTCGGTGGTGGCAACCAACAAGTACGACGACATCGCAACCCTCCATGCGACTACAGACGTCGCTGAACGTGCATGATGGTGACGACCCACGACGGGTATGAGTCATAGTCCACTAAATCAACTGTTGTGTCGACAAAGGCCAACATCAATGAGTGCGTTGACGACCGTCGCAACACTACAGCAGACAATGGGCCAACATCAATCACTCCATCATCAACAGTGACATAGTTTCCTTGAAATACTGGATTGTAGCAACAGTAACAACACCCACAAATACCATCAGACTGTTGTGGCGATTGATAACACGCTGTACATGGTCGTGACGTAGCAGTTGTGGCAGTGGTGTCAGTCGTGGCAGTCGTGGCAGTGGTGTCAGTCGTGGCAGTCGTGGCAGTCGTGGCAGTCGTGGCAGTCGTGGCAGTAGTGGCAGTCGTGGCCATCATGACAAAGGAGACCTTGGCGATTGTATACGGTAGCGACCATCATGAACACGACCATGAACACGACGATCACGACCTGACCATAACCATGACCATGACCATGACCTTGACCATGACCATGACCATGACAACGACCATGTCCTGACGATTGCAACTACCACTTTTTGGCGTCTTTAAGGTCGATAACAAATATGGAAATCAATAAATTCCACACTGGAACCAAACATGATTGATAAAATGTAATTGATTGATTGATTGACCGTTAATCATTCATATATACTCATCATTCAATCAATTAAATAATATATTCGTATACAACAATATTATTATATTGTTGTCACAACATTTAATGTTTGGGGGTGTAATGAGAGGCCAACAAAAAAAGAACACCCGAGTTGCATTAGCAACTAATACCAAGACGACACCCCCAGTCAGAGCTGGGATGATACCAACATTCGTAAGTACCTCTTTAACATATCGTACAAAAATCTAAAGATGATTCACCAACAGATTGTCAAGCGATTCAGTGGTAATAATAGTGTAAGCTGTCACTTGTTGCAACTATCCATAACGACTTATCACTAATATATTATATGTGATTAAGGACATAACCTCTAAAGTGTCCTTGAAGAGATCTGCTGTCATTAGAATAGAGCGATACATTAAATACAGAGGGTGGAGTGTATACTTCACCGAGGTTATAGACATGCCAGAGGATAACATTGAGAGGAAATCATTGGCCGAGTACTGTGAGGATAGATGATAAAAGATAAATAACAATAGACCTGTCTTATATATAAGAGCCATCCGTTGGTGTAGCGTTTATTATATATCAGGGATACTTTGTTGTGCATAGTCCTCGTCGTCGTATCCTGGGATGATGGGTTTGATGACCTTTCCTTCTTGGTTGACCTCGTCCCATATTGGTTCGTTGTTGAAGTTGAATCTTGGCCACGGTTTGGACATGAAGCGTTGAAGTTCTTCTATGCCAATTGGAGACAGTGCACCCCTGTAATAATATTTGAAACAACCCATAGTGGGGTATACATCTTGGATACCGATTCGTTCATTCTCGGTGATGGCGATTATCATGTCCATGTACATCTTCGTTTGATTACAGTATTCGTAGATGTTCTCCTTACAGGCTTCTGTACATTCACCGTCTTGAAGGAGGACCCCATATGGGTTTCCATTGAATGTATCTAAACCTGATAGATCAGAGCGAAAGGGGTGATCTTCTTCAAAATTCCAGTTATGTCGGCTGCAAGGATAAATAGCTTTAGATTCTGACATTGATTCTTGAGTGGGATTAGTTATTTGCACAAATGAGTGGTGATCTCATCCTTGTTAATGTGAGTTGAAGAAATATTTGTATTTAATGGAGTTATTGTCCTTCGATTATTTGGAATTTTTCATAATTAATTAATTTGGAAGTTCATTGTAGGGACGAAGGGTAGCAGCAGAGAATGGCAAATACACTTGGTCATTGTTTATTCGTCCGATTTGGATGTATCACTGGCGTCTTTTCTGATGATGTAGGGAGTAAGCTCATCCCTCTGGAGCATCTGGAGGTATGTGTCAAGCCGTATCAGTCCAATGCGATGCTGCTCGATGTGGAAGCGCATCATTTGCGACATGTGCTCAAAATACTCCACAACCTCCTGGAGTTTGTGGAAACTCAGCTCCTCAGTGGTGTAGTCTGACTGTTTGAGATCGAGGGGCCCTTCTTTCCAGTCGACAATATTGACCTGTTTATTGTAGGCAAGTGATAAAAATAGAGAGCCACAATTGACCAGACGGAGTAAGGTGATCGAGCCAGTGTCGGTTGCCAATTGGAGCCCAGGAACATAATTATATGTCCTAGAGAACTGAAATTGCAGAAATGAATAGAATAAGAGCAATCGACACTGGAGAAAGATGTGATGAGGCACTTGGAGTTTCGCCGGATGTTGTTGTTGTGATGGTGGTTGAGGTTGCGGAGGAAGAGGTTGAAGTTGATGTAGATGTAGTTGTTGTGATGGTGGTTGAGGTTGCGGAGGAAGTTGATGTAGATGTTGTTGTTGTAGTTTGTGGAACTGGTGCCTGGGATTGGATAAAGTAAAATGGTGACATTCCATTGTTGAAGTTGTAGGTCTTGACCTGGAGCCCACTTCCAACCAAGGTGATCACGTAGTAGTGCTCTCCAGCAGTGGTCGGTGTATAGCGGATAAGTACATTGCCTGGGATGGAGACATCCTGTTGAACACGGACGTATGCCCCTAAGCCAACGTCAAAGACATCCATAATGGCAGTGGTAACGTCGTTGCTTACCACCATAGACAAGTTGAAAGTCTGTCCCAAATACACATTGTAGTTTGCGCTCTGCGATGTGAGTGATGGCGAGGTAGGGGGTGGCATTGACGATTGAGCATAGATGTAGGCATCTTTGTTGACTCCAGTGATGATGTCGGCTGCTGTGTAGGTGATGTAGTTGCCCTTCACGTCGATCATTATTGGAATTGACAAGTAAAAGGATTTCGACGTGTATCTAGGGATGTTGAAGGTCAACTGATAAACACCATCCCTTGAGTTACCCTCAACAAGCGTGGTGGCATCCATGGTATAGGTGTAGTTGGTAGAGTCGGTGAAGGGGGTGATGCTGACCTTGAAGAATGCAATGCCAGATTGGTCGGTCACATGTATCTTGACTGTAGCCGTAGCACCGGCGTCGGTGGTGTTGAAAATCGGGCTAGACTTCTCGATACTCTGGAGAATGGGTGGAGAAGTGTCGCATCCATATGCTGGCCAAGTAAAGGTTGGGAACATCGATTGCAGCTGCAACCAAGGATAAGTGTAGGTTGCCCTGTTACTGTCAGTTATCACCAAAGAGACTCCCAGTGGAGCAAGCTCGACTGAGAACTGATTGCAGATGGACCTCAGACTTATGGACACCTGGGCAGAGTCAATTGGGGTGCTGTAGCTGGTCGATCCAATTAGGTGACCCTTTCCAATGAATGTGTCAAAGATATAGACCTCAACCTTGTAGATTGGGGCATCTGCCGCAACGAAGTTGAAAGAGAGCTTGTCCTGAGCCATCTGTACGTCGAGATTTGATATGGTAGGTTGTGAAATGGTAGTTGTTGGTTTGCCGACAATAGTGAGATGTGATGGTAAACCCATTGTATAAAGTTGAGCAGCTGTGACTGAAGAGGTATAAAGGCTGGTGGCAAAGTTCAGACCAAAGTCTAAACTGGTTGAGATGAACTGCTTGGGGAACGTAACTGAACATTCGTAGGATGTGGAGGTGACAATCGTAGAGATGTTGATGCAGTTGAAGACAGGAGTACCTTGGGGACCACCATTCAAACTGACCGAGAAACTATTGGCAGGTACTGTAGGATTGGCAACGGTGATCATGAGCTTTACAAGTTGGCTTGAGGCAGTGACATCGATGGCATTGGATGGTGACACAGTTAGCGCAGTGATAATGGGCTTGTACTCGCTAGGGTACCCGGTGAAAGTGAGGCACTTGGTTAGGTAGATATCCTTGTAGGTGTATGACTCTGAGTACATGCTGCCATAGGTTGAGAAATATGAACCGCCATTCTTGATGCCTGAATAACCACCGTTCTTGAGGACTGAGAAGTAGTGGCCTACGTTTTGAGTTCCATCGACGAATCCTCTCTTTCCAGGATAGTACTGATAGGAGAGCATGTTAAAGCGAGCTGCTCCTCTGGACTCCAGGTTGAAGTTGGCCAAGGGACGCACCGTGTTGAGGGTTACATCCATGGCGACAGTGTTGGCCGTTGAAGACAAGTTGACATTGTAGTTGGAAAGAGTAACCTTGGAAGGAATGATTAAATTGTTGGCCGCGTTTGGTCTTAAGGTGGTCATTGGGCCGTTGCCAGTGAATGTTGATGAAATGCCATTTGTGGTCTCCACTGTGCCAGAAAACTCGGTCAAGTTGTACTTGTTTGCAAGGATGAAGATGCGTTTGGACAATGTGCCCTGATGCAAACCACCGTCGACCAGGTGATTCTGGGAGAACACTCCTGGGTCGTACAATCCATTGATTGTAAGCACCCTAAAGTAGGAGTTGGTCTGGGAGAATGTAATGTTCCAGGTCAAGTAAAAGTCTTCCGAGTTGTCGATCTTCTCAACATTGAACGAATGTGTCAAGTTAGAGATGGGATCAAAGTTGTTATCTTAGATAACAGAAAAAGAATAATAGGTTAGGGAGGAATGTACTACTAACTGTCATCAAAAGATCAATACATACTTATATAAGTGATTGTCTGTGTCAGTGTCTGAGAACCAGAGTTGCCTTTGAAGTTGGAGTATTGGATGTTGATTGAATGAGTTCCATTTACATTGAAGGGTGGGATGGAACAATAGATAGTGGCAAAGGTCCACGACCACAAGTAGTACTGGCAGTTGGCTGTGAACCCTTCGGAGAAGGAGGCGGTCAAAGTCTTGATCATGCTGTCTTGTCCAAAGTCCTTAAGGGTGAGATTGAAAGTCAAGGGCTGAACAACGGTGCAGTCCTCAAACAAATCTGTTGAAACATTGGCAGAGTCAACCGATCCAATATTATAGTTGACTGAAAAAGAGTAAAAGTATTGATTAGACATTATTGGCTCTATCTATTATAAAAGATACCCTTACTTACATTTCACGCCATTGTTAAATTGGAAGGGCTGCAATCCCAACTCTGAAGTGATGAAGGTCTGGTTGTCGGTATACCATTTGTTTGCAGCATTGTCAAACAAGAAGACTCGAGCCACCCTCCAATTGACACCAACGACCAAGTTCTCACCTGGGCTGAATGTGGCATAATAGTAACCGTCTGCAGCCAGACTGGAAGATGGGAAATTGATAGAGACGATTCTTCCGCCACCGACTGGTGACACCTGGACCAATGCTGAACCAATACCGGATTCTGTATCATTGGCACCCAACTTGAGGTAAAGCATGTTGTCTGTGTTTGCCAACGTGATGTTGGTAAGTGATGGAGGTGTGATATCAACTAATGTTTGGCAGGCAGAATGTGTTAGTGACCTGTGAGAATAAAGGATCATTGGTTCGATAGTTAAACTTACATAAAACGGTCATGTTGGTAAATGTTGGCTGAATGATCATAGATGTTCCATTGCCATGTACGTAACCGATAGTAAGAGGACAAACGGCAGGATTTGGTCCACCTGTCTCGGCTCCGCACTTGGATGTGTCATCCAACAAGATAATGGGTCCGCACACTTGGAAGATGGTGACATTGCCGTTCCTAGTGATCACGTTCAGATCAGTCATTGGGAAGGATTTTATCATAGTAATCCAATCTACACGTGAAACATTGCCCTCCATTGTGAAGGTCACTGTCAGGGTTGGGATATCAGCCGACATGAATCTGAGCGAAGGTGGATCGAATGTAAGTGATGTAACCTTGACCTCATCATCTTGTGCACTGACAAAGATAGAAATAGTGATAATAAAAAAAATAATAATAATATTCTTTAACATTGTTATATTATTTGTTATAAATATAAATATTGGTAAGCTAAAAGAAATGAATCACCTGTGAATAGTTATGCGATTATTTATCTTTCCAAAAAACCGGTTGAGTAAGTCAGATCTCGATAAAGAAGGCGATCACCAAAATCCAAACTATTAATAAATGGGGTTAATGAAAGCTTTGGCCCCCTACTTCTTTGTGGGGCAACTCCATCGACGTTTTCGTTGTCATTCCTGACACAGATTCAGGATAGCATGGTGGTTGCCCCAACCATCAGCTTGTGAATAACGCAAAGTACATTAATGTACTTTCACTCATACAGAGAGATAATCTACTATACAAGGACTGGACGAGTAGAGTCTAATCAGCTAACTAATACCATTTGCAAATTTGTACGAACTTGACGACTCCAATAATAACAATCTAATGATGAACGTATACCATTGACGAAAGATGACGATATGACTGATCGATACGTGTACTAGTGAGGAGAGGCCTGCGAGCTCAGGAAGGCAGCCCACCCCAGATTTATAATGTTCATAAACAATACTCGTTGTCGGTTCGATATGTATCGGAATGAGATGATATTACACAGTGGCCATACGGCACAGTCGACCAGGTAGGTATGTAGCCAGTCGTCCTTGAGTTTCTGTTGGATCTCTGCGAAGCTCTTGCGCTCCAACACTCCCATGCCAACAAAGAAGAAGGCATCAAATATAGGAGCGCATACCAGTTGGTCGAGACCTGACTTGATGATGACATGCGTCATCACTTTCTTTGGGAACGTTGTATCTAGCAGATGATACCAATAGTGAAAGATGGGTCCTGTGGCTACCAGTCCAAATATGCTCATTCGTAGAGCTCGCTGATAATTGAACTGCCATTGTTCTTTAGTTCTGTTCTCTAGATATTGTGACATTGTATCAGAGACGAAATACAATGTCCCTGTCGTTACAGCCTACATGTAAACAACATCTTTTTGTTAGTAGATGAAAGCCTTCATATATATACTGATTATGAAGTTGAGATGATGGATGGTGATTGCATCTCTCAATGAATGGCACTAATCGTTGTTGCTGCTAACAATAAGCCTGTTTTTTAATTGTTGTTTACCTACCTTTGTGAATACAGGCCTATTATGTAATGCATTGATATAACCATCATATGATCGTTTACCCAGCTTGTTTAACCTTGGAAGTATTGTTTGAAAGCTTGTAAGTAGTCTGTTCATATCTATGTTGTCGTTGTTATCTTTTTATATATATATATATATTATTCAATCAAATGAACAACGTTCATTACTTTTGCCAAGTTCAGTGTTCTCACATCACAACAATCAACAACTAATCCTTATTCGACAAAAAGAACAAGGATTGGGTGGAACTGACAATCATGATTGTTCTGTACAAGATGAAGTGATTGTTTTAATTAATATAAATACAGATAGTGAGGGAGTATTCTGTTCCTATACTATCGATCTTGTTCCTCTTGTTCAACAACATTATGTGCATGTTTCCGTTCCTCAATAGAGACTGCCTGCAAGTCCAATTTGGTCAATTGAGAGAATCTACTGATGATATAGATTCTATAGTTGTAGTGATGATGAGGTACTTTGAACGGACATGGATACTCCTCATTATCGACAAGGTTGATGCTTTGCAAATAGGGAGCACTGTGAATCAATCTGTTGTTTGATAAAGTAAGCATAATGTATGAAGGCACATGTTCCACATATGTACATACCTCTCGGTAAACAGAGCCACCTTTTGACAATTGATTAGATTGGAAGACAGATCGAGATGTTGTAGTTCTGGAAGTGTAGGGAAAACTGTATGCTCTGTCAATTGATTGTTATTCAGTGTCAGCGACTCCAGACGATAGAATCCTGACAGAAAGTCGACAGACCTATAGTTGATATAACATCGATCAGTTAGTATGTGAATTGGTTACTCGTACGCTATATATATAGCTTCTTTGTACATACGTTAGGGCATTGTTTGAAAGATCCAAATGCTTGACAGAGTGTCGAAACTTTGGAATGATACTAAGTGGCATAGACTTGCATCGATCAAAGGCAATCTTTAGTTTCCCACGATGATCAGAAGGTGTGAAGCAGAAGGGCACGGAGCTGGTCTGTTGGACGATGTTCTTTGAGCCATTCTGTTTGCACACAATGTGGAAATGGGTGATGGCGGCATCGCCCCATATTGGACTGTTGAACTCTAGTACCTCTGGTGATATTGGAAGTGCCAGTATCTCGATACCTCCCTCAAACACTGCCCAGAATGAGTAGTAAATGGGTGACACTTTGGATGTCTTGGCAAAACAATTGAATCCATTCACGAGGCATATGATCTTGGTCTGCTCCAGTGAGGGTGATGTATCGGGACTGTATGAGGAGATTGAAGCTGGTGCCGATGGCTGTGATATGTTGATTGGCGTTGATGGTGTGCTTGGTGTATCGACGCTAACTGGCGTCAAATATGTTTGGTTGGTTTGTTGATGCGCATTGTAGCTATCCAGTGGTACCGTTGTGTTGGAGTTTGTACTGGTTGTTGTCGTGGTAGTTGTGGTTGATGGTATGGATGTTGATGATGATGATGATGTGGTGACAGAGGTCATTGGAGGGATATTGACTCCATAGTTGGCATTGTCACTATCAAATGTTAATGGAGATGAAACTCCATTCCCAGTATAAGTATATGGAAATGATTGTTGCAGGTGGGATATGAACACGGCAGAAGAGCTTCCTGTGCCCACATTGTTTCCCTCATAGTTGGACCATCCACTATCTGCAAAATCGAGGAAGTAGTTGTCGTCGGTGTTGGACGCTGCTGTGGTCGATGTCGCTGATGACGTTGCTCCAAGAGTGCTGCTGCCAAGGAATGAGAAAGAGTTCAGGGCAGACTCATCCTGAGCTACTGGATGTTGGAGACTGGGTGCTATAAACTCGGGAGATGACGAAGTAGAGGAGTGTTCATGAACACTGTGCTGTTTGGGATGTGAAGGTGTTGTATCGATCTTTTTCTTCTTGAATAGGTTGAGTATCGTTGATGATGATATTGATGATAGATTAAAAGGTGACTCCCTCTTCTTTGTCTCATTACTACTGATATTGTTGCTGTTGTTGTTGCCAAAAATGATGTTGTTATTGTTGTTGTTGTTGTTGTTGTTGTGGTTGTTGTTGTTTTGAGATGACAGAGAGGTTCGTTTTGATGTTGAAGATATAACTGGTTGATCATCAGAGTCCTCTATAGTTACAGACTCGGCCGCCGGTCGTGTGAGGTAGTGTACCAGTATTGGAAAGTCTTGAACACATAGTCGTTCGCTGTACTTTGATTTATCGTTGTCTTCAGCGCACTCGGGCGAACCGTCATCTTCCAATTTGAGTAGGTATTCACGTTTGATGAGCTTGTACTCAAACTTCTTCCAAAAGATTCCATTGTCACAGACACCACCGAATGTCTGTCGACGCATAACATGAGCTCCTACATCCTTCTTGTGGGTCTTGAGCTTGTAGACTTGCTGATCCTCGTTGAAAATGATCATCCTTACATTGGTCTTTGTCTTGGCCCACCGTATTCCATCATTAGCATAGTAGTCCTTTGCCGAGCGATCAAAGAGATAGAGAAATCCCTTGGCATTGCCTTGTTGCTTGAGGTCTGCCAGACCTTCGACAGAGTGAGGCCATTGTGAAGTCAATGTTTCTGGCGGATTCTTAAGAACGGCATGGAACAAAGGGAATAGAGTAGTTCTGATCTCTCTATCGAGCAAAGAGGAGTCAATCTGTCGTAAGTCATCCTTTGAGAGTCTCTTCAACTGATCATTCTCCAGTGTACAACTGGCTAACATCTTTAAGTCAATAGATTTCTTTTGGTTTTGTTGTTGATGTTGTTGTAGTTGTGATGGTGATTGATATTGTTGTTGTTGTTGTTGTTGATTTTGATGCTGCTGTTGATGCAGCATCTGCTGATGCTCTTGCTGATGATATTGACGCATAAATTGTTGTTGTTGTGACATTTGTTATAAATACATCATTGTCTGTCTATCCAGATCCCCTGTTGTTTGTTAGATTGAGGGGTTGGCGAACAAGACGTCTTTTGATTCTCATTGTGAGAAACTGAATCTGACTTGGAAGGTTCTCTTTCTCTCAAAAAAAATAATAATAATCATTGTGATCAAGCTTTAATGACTAATATGACAACACAATTGTCTGCACAATATGATCCAATTGGTTAGAGAAATGTGTGAATGAGAACTGACTCTCTACCCACTTCCTTCCTGCATCGCCCATTGCCTTTGAGTTCTTGGAATGTTGAACATGTGGACAGGTTGTAGTTGAATAATGATGATTAGTAATTATGATCCTGGATCATCATCACACCTTGTGTTACATACTTTAGAATTAGTGATGATCTTGTTAAATGCTTCACTGAATTGCTTGGCGTTTGGCTGACAGAGGAATCCAGTCTGCTCGTGTTTGACTGTCTCCAATGGACCTCCACTATTGACGGCGACCACAGGCATACGCATATACATTCCCTCTAGGGGAGTGATTCCAAAATGCTCGTTGGACGGTGTATAGGCCAGACAAACAGAGTTTCTAAGTAGCCATGATCGCTGCTCCTCATTGAATGAACAGACAAAGCTGACACGATTCAACAGTCCGAGTGTTTGGGCTCGTGATTTGAGCTCCTGAAGATGTTCAACATTCTCTCGCAGACCCGGATCGTATCCACCAGCAAACACCAGATGAAGGTCCTCTGCTGCTGACGCTGTAGTTGAATCTGCTCCAAGCTTCTTCAAAGTCAGGCTGAACGCCTCGAGTGCCAAACCAAGGTTCTTCTTTCGCTCATAGCGATTGATCGATAGGATGATGGTGTGGTTCTCACCTCGGGGCAGATCAAGTCCATCACGGGAGGGCTTGGTGTTGTCATACTGCTGAAGGTTCAAACAGGGGTAGAGAACAGAGGGAGGTACCTTTATCGATGGGAATGAATCACGGAAGATTGATGCTGTGAAGTTTGAGTTGACAACGGTGCGGTGTGCCCATGACGTTGTGTACTCTTCCAACCAATCCACTGGCACTCTGTACAGACGCTTGACAATAGACTCTCTGGTGGTGAGTAGCTTGTCAGGGAAGTGGCAATAGAACAGAATCTTGGAGCGAGTCAATAGACGCAGCAATGGGATTGAAGCTGAAATCTGGTCGACTACGATGACATCATACGATCCTCTGGCAAAGACGATGGACATGGCACAGAGAAGATTACGTATGATGGCACAGACAACCATCAACCTATTAAATATAGAACGGGGAAAGAAAGAGCCTGCCACTTGCACTTTGAGTTCGCCGTTGTGAGTCTCTTTAAATGAACGTCGTGGATCGTGTCGTGATGTGTACATGGTCACGTCGTGGCCCTTGGCCTTGAGTGCCAAAGCAGCATCAACGACCAGTCTCTCTGCACCACCAATACCCAGATCTGGGTGAAGGAAGGCTACTCTAAGGCATTTGTGCTTTCCATCGTTGTTGCTACTGCTGCCACTGCTGCCTCTGTTGTCGTCGTCGTCGTCGTCGTCGTTGTCCTGAGGATATTTATCTCTTCTCATTATGTGTTTGTGTGAAGTTGATCAATGAGTCATTAATGAAAAAAAAAAAGTGATCTTGGTGTGTCTTTGGATGGTTTATTCAACCTTGGTTGCAGAGCTCTTTGACCTCTTCCTCCTATTCTTTTTCTTCTCTTTGTTCTGTTGAGGTGGTGCTTGAATCGTTCTCTTGATGCAGGACAATGGATTCTTTCCTTTTATCTTGCTATTTATGTTGTTGTTTACTGCTGCTGCTGATGATGCTGCTGCTGTTGTTGTTGTTGTTGTTGTTGTTGTTGTTGTTGTTGTTGTGGCTTTCTTGATATGTGTCAAAGGTTTGATATGACTTGTTGCGACACTATTGCCGATAACAGAGGTCTTGGATGGTATCGAGGTTATCTCAGTTGATATTACCAATTCCTGTTTTTGAGTGTTATCTTTGTGTTCTTGTTCTTCTTCTTGCTCATCATCATCGATGTCGACTCTTTTCCTTTTCTTGGAGTCTTCACTCGTGCTACTACTGCTGGCCTTGTCTTGTGCCTGCTCTTTCGTCTGTTTCTGTTGTTGCTTTTGTAGCTTCTGTTTCTGCTGTTGTCTCTGTTGTTGTTGCTCTTTCTTCTCCATATTCCTCTGGATCATGTCTTCTTTCTTTTGAATCTCCTGTTGTAATCTTTCTGCTCTTTGTTGCTCTCTCTCCTTCTTGGTAACGTATCCTTCGCCAAACTTTGCCTTCAACAACAGTTCCTTCTCCTTATCATCGATCTTTGTTAGGAGCTTATGAGTCTTTTGGTGTTGGTGTAGGGCAAAGAGGTTAGTTAAACAATCATATTCATAATTCTTAACAACATTAACATTAATAATAATAATAATAATAACAATACCTCTGTGGTCCTTCGATAGGAGCTTGTCGATGGCTTCTCGATTATGATCTTGTTGGTCAACAAGAAAAGCAATGGAACACCTGGCATCTGTCTGATATCGAATCGACTATCGTTGTCCTGAATGGCCATTACGAATTGGCCTGGATTGTTCTCTGTGAAGAATATGGATTATATAGTTAGCAAGTTGTAGACATCCATCTGTTCCTATCTATCACACTCACTGGCAAGATCCATGTAGCAGTGCTTTGTCAAGTGCACCTCGTTCTCCTCAAACTTGTGTTTACACTTGTGACAATATATTCTCTTTGCCATCGCATACACCTGTTTATAATCGACACCTCTTCGTTGGCACTCTGCCACTGTACAGTTGGTGACATCTATTGTAAATAGTGCATGTGTCAGTTAACCATTGGACACAGTGTCACCCTGAACTGCTTTAACAGATTTCAACAGTAGAAGTACTTACAGAATGTACATCTAGCATCTAACAGCTTTGGAATTGCATCCTTGAACATGATGTTGAACTGAGCAGCTCTATACATAAACTCTGGGTCCACTAAAACAAGAGTTCATTGTTAATGTGAATGATCAAGTAGCGAACTAACTCATGCACCAAGTTGGTGAGATGTTAATGTGTGAAAGAGGGGCACCTACATAATACATTATATGGTTCAGTGTATCCATAGTTCAACTGATAGAACTTGAGTGTCTTTTTATAGTTCTTCTGTGTCTTTACCTTCATTGTTACCTGTTTGAAAGTAAAGAGTGGGAGAACAAGAGTCGTTCGTTTTGTTTGTTTGGGTGTTCAAACTTATTATTAAAATTAATAAAAATTATTATTATTTATAAGGACATTTAGGACAAAGACATTGTTGTGATGATGCTTCATCTGGTAAATCATTGATGAATAGTCTGACCAATTCCTCCATGTCCTCACTTTGTAAATGTTGAACTGTCTTCTTTATCGTCTCCCTCTTGAATGTACTCGGTACTCTCTTGTAAACTTGGATCACCTTGTCGAAACAACTCTGGAAACTGGCCTCACTATTGGCATGATGGTGAGGTTGATATCTCTGAGCTCCACCATAGTTTTCTATGTTGGTAAGTGTATCCGTCTGATCGTCAGCCTCATCGCCACTGTCATCCTCCAAACACATGCGCGGAGTAGATGGAACAGAAGAGGAACTAAAGTGTTGATAGTCACATTGTAATCTATGAAGACCATACAGGCTCTTTATCCACTCTGCCTGACCATCCTGGTATTGTTGGAGAGTTCTCAACTTGTCGGTCAACACCTCATGGAATGTCCTTTTCTTTAGAATTGGTATTCCCTCCTTCTTGACATGGTCCACCTTTGATACGATTCGTATTGGGTGAGAGATAAGACATAGTTGGTAATGTTTTGTGGTGTTATCTTCTCCAGATAATGTTGTTGTTGATGTTGATGTTGTTGGTGTTGTTTCTGAGGAATAGTTATTGTTTATATAAGTTTGAATGTTTGTCAATGATTCAGAGTTGGAGGGTGTAGGGTATGATGAATGGGTCACATGTAGAACCACGATGAAAAGTGATCCCTGATGTTGACTGGAAAGTATATTCATCCTAATATCCACAGTGGCTTCACTACCATCCTCGTTCACAGTGGACACGTACTGAAGAGGTACCTGCTGGATAAAGTCTACTTGTTTTGGTGGATCACAGTCATAGAGTAGATTTGCCTTGACTGTATAGTGTTGAAGGTTGATGCGTTGTCTGTCATTCGATCGGATGCCAATGACAAAGGGTGTGTTTTTAACAACGACATGTATCTGTTTGGTCATTGACTGGTGATAGAATTGTGTTGCCAAATGTAATGGATGTTGATTGTTTGATTTGGATGATGGTGAGACAACATGTTGTATTGTTGGTTGGAATCGTGACTTATTGGATGGTGTCACTCTGACATCTTCAACAGCAATTGCTGTTTGTTTGGTTATTTCGACCAAGAGTGTTTTGTTGTTGTTAGACATTATTAATATATTTGAACTGTGGATAACTAGTTGTTGTATGTTTGATTTAATATCACATATCTTATTCCTTCCTTGTGTATGTTTGAATTAATATTGTATCATGTTGTTGTTGTGTGTATTGTTAATACGTAAGTTTATCTCTGGAGATAATTATTTGTTTTTAGAGATTAGATAGTTTTTTGGGTTACGTGGTTGGGGGGTATCAAAACACTGTCACATGCACTCGGAGCTGAACACTCTTGTTTGTTTGGGATAATTATAGAGTCTCTCTCTAGTTGTAGTAGCTTTAACAACAAATACGAATGTCATTCTTTAGTAAATCAATAGTAATTACCACCTTGATACTGGCAATCGTAGGTACTCTCTGCTCTATTTATAAAATTCACGAATTGGCTAGGTACTGACAGTCATGGTGTACGCTATTACCTAGTTGGCAGGCGGTGTGTTGGTCGGTTATTCATTCACTCAAATACAGACTAAAGAGTCAGGATTCGATGGATCAACTCCTATCAGTAATGGAATCTGCCAAGCATCAACAACTAAGTTACCTGCCAAGTTCTCTTTTACTAGTGATAAAGATGGTCACCGCATCAATGTCCTTTGTAAGTGGGAGACAAAGAATGCTGCCATCAGAATAAGCATCGGCATGGGTGCATTCCTCTTTGGCATCGTTACATTGGTGCTGATATACAAATCTAGCAAGTTCATGTTTATGACTGTAAGTAGTCGATCAACAGCAGCAAAGGCCAGAACAATCAAACAACATCACTCTAATAATCAATCTTTGTACAGAGCGCACTAGTAATGATTTGTCTTGGTGGATTTGGATTCTTCTCATTTGTAATCGATTCAATCTCAATCAACGACTCAAAGTAAGTCAGTCCTACCTACATTCTCAATGGTATCGCCAAATCATTAGATGACTAACAATCGTGTCCATCGTCATTCATCTACTAAAAGGAAATGGTGTAATAATACCATACCCAAACTATATGGCCCTCATGTCGATTGTACATATGATACACTAATTATCACTGTATTGCTCAATACTTTGAACGCTGTCTTATTGGTAAGTAACCATCGATACTAATAGAAATGAACACACTCTAACTTCAAGTTATATTTATTAATATATATGTAGATTGTGGCAGGAGTACTTGTTGTACTGTTCAGAAACTTGTTCCAGGCAACTAAACATGTCGACCTGGATAATGTCATAGGAGAGGAGAGAGAGCCACTGTTCGGATAGGAATAAATACCATCAATCACTTAATGAATGGACGCGCCTGATCGCCCTTTGAGAGTGTGTATCAAAGTGACAACACCCAACCATCTTTGCAACTCTACCAAAAAAGGTTCTCGAGATGGATTCTCAATTGCACGTGATAGTGAACAAGTGATCACAAAGTGTGCAGGTAAGATTTAACCTTTGTTTTGTGTTTGTGTGTGTTTGATTGTTTGAGTATGTGTGTGTACACAATATATATGTGTGTGTGTTTGTTTGTTTGATTGTCAAGTCAATGTGGTCCTATGCCTCTGCAGAGACTCTATCCACACACACACACACACACACATACATAACACAACAACCTTGTTGATCTATATCTGTCATCAAATATTTTAAACACCCATATGATCGTCAGTTCAAGTGATGGCACCAGCACCAAAGAAAGGTCCTCACCCACTCGATCAACGGCCTCCATCACCTCCTTCCACACAACATTAACAGTCTCTTGTGCCAGTTATTAACAACCAGTCCCTCCATATCTCTCTATCTCTCTATCTCTCCTTCTCTCTTTATATATATCTTTTTATCCTTTGGATCGAAAAAATAGGAAGCTATTTTATTGTCACCATTACAATTGTTATCATTACAAATTCTACAACCAGTACCACTACTACTATATAATTATAAACACCGATATTACCCAACTTCCTAACTATAATAATAATATTATTTCATTTAAACAACAATAATATGTTAGTACTTGAAATTCTCAAGAGTGTTGTACCTACCAAGGATGATGCGGAGACATATATATTAGATATTATAACTCAATCTATGAACAAACTAGTCTCATTAGGTGACCAGGTAAATATTACTTCTTTTATTTGTTTTTAAATTTAAATTCACTTCCACCTAACCATTTCAATTTAATTCAAGTATCCTCAATCACATGAACAATTCTACCCACCCAATAAGAAGTTACCAACGATCACTGTTAGGGACTATCTGCACCGACTGTATAAATACTCACCATGCTCCAAGGAGTGCTTTGTTGCTGCACTCGTTTACATTGATCGACTTATATCCGAATGCGGTCTCATTGTAAACTCTTTCAACATTCACCGTATCCTAATCACTACTTTGGTAATATCAACCAAGTACCTCGACGATATATTCTACAACAATGAGTACTACTCCCAGGTGGGTGGTATCCAATTGCGCGAAATGAATCACCTGGAGCTCGACTTTCTCAAGATGTTGAACTTTGGTGCCGTTTGTCCTGATCCAGTTTTTGAAGAGTATCAATCAGAGATTGAACAATGTAGAGAGAGATACCAGACTTCAAAGCGTTTAACTTCGACATCCTCCTCTTCTTCTTCCTCTATTGTCATATCATTGACATCATCTCATTCACCGCGTCACAATACTTCCTCAACATCTAATAACTCACCAATATTTCCAAGACGAGCCAGTTGCGACCAAGGCTCTGTTGGCAGAACCAAATCTAATGACCCATATCACACCAACTGTGCAGCATGAAGGCTCACCTACCTACCTACCTACCCACCATAATCAACTGCGTATCATTCAGTACTAGTATCATCATTATGCCACATGTTGTTGTTGTTTACACATTGTCGTGGCAATAATCCATATATTATTATGTATATATCATTTCTTTATTATATATAATCATCAACTATACCAATCATTCTCTCTCTCTAAGCAGATAGTGATGTACATTTAAATTGTAAATAAAATAAAATAAAATTCAATTTGAAGATCATTCATTCAAATAACTAAACATTGAGTAAAGATAGATAGAGATAGAGATGACGACTACAGGTACTTCTTCAAACGCAACTGTAGTTGACATCGACTTAAACACTTCCATAGAATGGGATGCTAGCACAAAGCCATTGATGTAAGGAAGCTCTGCGTGTCTGATGATTGTTGATCAACAACAACAACGTTATTAACAAACGTCCATCTATTGTTTAGAGTGGAGAGACTGAATAGGCTGTCAGATGACATAGCTAGTGCTCACAAGTCACAGAATGACAAGGTTATGATAGAGTCATTTGGCAATATGAGGAAAGTGCTCTATGATCAGTGCACTCTGACAACAAAGTCAAAGATATCGATCAGACAGCTTTTATCATTGCTTTCACTTGATTGTCTTGTAAGTATTAGTGTGTGTGTGTGTGTGTGTGTGTGTGTGTGTGTGTGTGTGTGCGTGTAAACTTCAACAATAGGCATTCTGCTGACTGACTGACTGACTGACTAACTGATGTTCCTTCATCATTACCCATCACTTTAGAGAGTCGTCGACCTGACCTCAATTCTAGCAGATGTGATATGGCTTATAGGAATGGAGTTTGAAGGTGCCAAGAATGATGCCAGATCAACTACATATATTGCGACGATCAAGGAGATGGTTGTATGTATCATATAATTGACTACAATGACCTTTGTAAGCTCAAATTCTAATGTCTTTTACGTACTACTAGAAACAATCATACTTGACACAGGATATACTATTGGAGAGACTCGAGTTGGATTGGACAGAAGAGGTTGGCACCGTCAAATCAAACAGTGTTCTATTGCGAAGATTGGGAAGGATCAACACAAAGGAGATGTATGTCAATTAGAGTCATTGGTGTAGTACTTGTATGTTGGTTAACCTGTTGCTCCTCCCATAGGTTTACACAGGCCAAGTTCAATCTGTTCAAAGAGGAGACTGAGGGCTTTGCCAAGCTTCTGGCACAGCTGAACAAAGGCGATCTGTTGTCGCCTCTGACTCTCGAGGCCACAATCCACAACATCAGAGCACTGATTGGCAGTTTCAACTTGGACCCAAATCGTGTGCTTGATTTGGTGCTCGATGCCTACGAGCAGCACTTGGACAACAGCCAGTGTTTCCTACCGCTGATCAAGCTCTTCAAACCCTCAGCCATTCCCCAACTCCTAGGCTTCAAGTATCAGTTCTACCAATCGTCCGAGATGAACCCAACTTTAGAGACACCACAATCACTTCATAATCTCACGGCATCATTGCTGAGCGACCATGTCATTACATTGGAACAGATATATCCTCATGTATGTTATGTTTTGAACATTGGACCAGCTCATGTACTTACTGATCATCAAACATCTTCAACAACTCAACAGCTCAATCCATCAGATGAGGATCTAAAGAACCAATATCAACAAAAGAAGGAACAAGAGACATCTGGAGCAGGTACTACATTGAGCGATAACGACCTCCAAGCACTGGGCAACCAAAAGTTTGGACTCTTGGCCTCTCTGCTCGAGAGGAACAACGTGGAGTACTCGATGCAGATGCTCTACAACCTTTCATCAATTGACCCAGCATCCAATCCATTGATAGCCAGAGCATTGGTTAACACAGTGTCGAGCATTGTTGACCCAATTTACAAAGAGTATGCAAGAACCATCGATGGTCCAAGTCATTCAATTCGTACCCGTCACTCACACAAGCACATATCAGCATATCCTTTGCCACACTCAAGGCCACTCAGAAACCTGGAACGTTGAACTTCAAAGCATATGAAGCCAGCTCGGACATGATATACAACCTTTTGCGATATCTAAAGTGTTACATACCATCTGGTAGTGCACTATTCATCAAGATATGTAGGATATTCAAGGAGTTGGTACAATCAGTATGTTGAATGTTTTAGATATCCATATATCGCAAAACTACATAAGACAACTAACATCATTCCTTGTCAAGCCAAACTATGACCAGCAGTACAGATCTGATGTTGAGAACACATTGACCACCGTCATTTTCCCATCCCTCTCTCTAATGTCGACGCCCAATCCAGCCATGTCCTATGAGGTCTGGAATGTGATCTCGGGCATGGACTATCACGTTCGCTACAAACTCTACTCTGACTGGAAGTCAATGTACTCAAAGTACCTACCGCTCATCGTTGCCAAGATCGAGGCCAACACAGAGATCAAGAAGATCCTTCGACGTATATCCAAAGACAATGTCAAGCAACTTGGAAGGACTATTGGAAAGCTCACTCATCCTCACCCAACAGTGGTCTTGGAGGCTGTCTTATCATCCGTTGAGAACTATGACAGTCTTGTTCACCCCCTCGTAGACTCCCTTCGCTACAGTTCTGTTCTCAGCTTTGATATTCTAAGTTGTATGTATCTACAACCTTTATTGTATCAATTAGATACTAACATATCATTGATTTTTACTAGACTTACTATTGGAGCGCTTCACAATTCAAAGACCAAAGTTAAAGGCCGATGGCACAAACATTGCCAGTTGGTACCAGGGACTTTCATTATTTGTTGGATTCCTCTATCGAAAGTATCCTTCAACCGAGCTAGAAGGATTGCTTCAGTATCTGGTCAACCAACTCAAGGACAACAACTCACTTGATCTCATCGTCTTGAAGGAGCTACTTTCCAAGATGGGTGGTGTCGAGATCATTGAAGACCCACCTGACAACCAGGTCGAAGCACAGGGTGGTGGAGAAACCCTTCGCGAGGAGTCCAATACTATGAGCACCTCGAGGAACATCAAGAAGGCCGTCACCAAACTGAAGGAGAAGCTAATCGAGTCCAAGCTTGCCTTCCCCTTGTTTGTTCTTCTGTCCAAACAGAGGATCAACATCGTTCACAACAACGAACACACTGGCAACGTCAGAGGTATCGCTGACCTACTAGACAAATGTCAAGAGACATTACTCCAGTATACCGAGTTCATCTCTACCACAGTGCCACCCAAGGAGTACATCTCCTTCTTTGACAGTTTCGAGAGCCTTCCGACACTCTATGGTCTGGAGCCCGAGACCGCCTTCCACATCTACCGTCCAATCATGCCACATTTGCACCTGGTTCACAACTATGTGTTACACACGACCAACGATCCAATGATTACGGGTGACCACAACAAGGACACACATCAGAAGCCCAAGTGGGACAAGTCAAATGGCGAGCCAATCAAGGCCTTTGTCCAACAGTGCAAGAAGATTGGCAGTAGTGATTCATGGGGCTTCAGTCCTGAACTCTACACCACATTCTGGTCCTTGTCTCTCTACGATATATTTGTTCCAGAGACAGCTTACCAAGCCGAGATCACCAAGTTGACACAACAAAACGCTGATCCTACCACCGACAAGGAGCTGGACAAGCTTACAGCCAGCAAGAAGAGGAAAGAGAGAGAGCGCCTAATCAAGAAGCTCAAGGAGGAGTTGGACACTCAACAGATCAACCACAAGCATGTCATGGAGCGAATCAACTCGGAGAAGGATCGCTACTTTGATCAGAACATGCCCAAGTTCACCATGTACTTCATTCAGTACTGTTTGTACCCACGTGCGTCCTTCTCACAAGCAGATGCACTCTACTCTGCCAAGTTTGTTCAATTGCTGCACTCGTTGAACACGCCAAACTTCTTGACACTCTCCTACTTTGGCAATGCGTTCAAGATCATCGATTGTCTGATTGCATCGTCCACCGAGTTTGAGGCCGTGCGATGTGGAAGGTTCCTCGCCGAGACACTATCAATGATGAGTCGCTGGAGGAACAACGATGTGTTTGATAAGGAGTGCCGCAATATGCATGGCTTCCTGACTGACAAGGGTGAGCGACCAACCTACGAGCAGTTCATTGGAGCTACGACCAAGTGGCATATGGACATCTGTGGGGCATTCTCTGCGTGCCTCAAGTCTTCAGAGTACATGATCATTAGGAATGCCCTTCTTGTGCTATCAAAGCTCATCAAGGTATTCCCAATTCACAGGAAGACATTCAACGAGATCAGTGAGCTTGTCACCAAGATCAAGGATGGCATGCAGGAGTTGAAGACTCTTGCCACAAGGTATCTCTCACTCTTGGATAAGAACAAGGATATGATGTTGCCAGACGACACAAAGAAAGCCAAGCCAACTACACCTCAGATCACAAACGTTGAGGCAAGCGCAACAGTCTCATCGTCATCGACAGGATCAACAGTAGCGGCGACAACAGCAGCATCTTCAGCTCCGTCATCATCCTCATCACCAGCAACATCAGTCGCTCTCACTTCCTCTACATCATCTACATCAAAGACCACATCACAGAGTTCCAACACCACTCCGGCCGGTGTCTCAACAGCAGTCCACAATGGCAGTGATAAGATGCATATCGATGAGCCAGAGAAGAAGGATATTAAGTCTACACACTCAAGGAAAGATGACAAAGAATCAGCCTCTACCACACCAAGGTCCAAGGACAAGAATGTCAAGGATACTACTACCAAGGACACCAAGGATACTGCTAAGGATACGACCAAGGACACCAAGGACAAGGACAAGACTGTTCCCGCATCTACTGGAGTGCCAATCAAGTCGATCGTGGATAGTCGCCAACCAAGAGAGAGGTCCACTACGACCACTACTACAACGACAAGTGACAAGAAGGCAGAGTCTACCACATCAAAGGACTCCAAGATAGACAGGGAGAAGGAGAAAGAAAGACTTGAGCGAGACAGGGAAAAGATGGACAAGGAGAGGCTGGACAGAGAAAGAGAAAGAGAGAGAGAGAAGGATAGAGAGAAGGAGAGGCAAGACAGAGAGAGACAGGACAGGGAGAGAGAGAGGGAGAGAGAAAAGGAGCGCGAACGTGAGGCAGAGAAGCTGGAGAGAGAAAAAGAAAGGCTGGAAAGGGATCGTCACCTCGAGAAGGAGAGAGAAAAGGAGATCAGAGAGAAGGAGAAGGACCGTATTGATAGAGAGCGTGCACTCGAGAAAGACAGGGAGAAGGATGTCAGAGCAGGAGATAGAGAGAGAGATCCTGTTCGTGATAGAGGTCACGGCGATAGAGAACGTGAGAGCGAAAGACACAGAGAGCGCGATAGGGAGAGAGAGAGAGACCGTGAGAGAGAAAGAGAAAGAGAAACCTTGAGAGAGAAGGAACAAAGAGAGCTGAGAGAGCAACGTGAACAACGTGAACAACGTGAACAACGTGAACTACGTGAACAACGTGAACTACGTGAACAAAGAGAACAGAGAGAGCAAAGAGAGCAAAGAGAGCAAAGAGACAGAGACAGAGAAAGGGATAGAGAAAGAGACAGGGAGAGATCAGATAGAGACAGAGAGAATGGTATTGGACGAGGAGACAGCCGCGAAAGAAGGGACACTTCATCCGTTCATCATACCGATGACGACAAGTCGAGAGGTGGTTCAAAGAGAAAGGATGAAGGCACTCTACCAAGTAGAGACGAAATCAACAGAAGGGATGACAGAGAACACTCACACAAGGCCGACACTAGGGATCAATCGACAAAGAGGGATGGGTCTTCATCATCCGCTTCTTCCACATCATCCTCTGTGTCGTCCAGAGAGCCTACCAAAGATGCCCAAACTCTACGCGATAATCTTTTGAAGCAAAAGAAGGAGAAAGAAAAGGAAAAGGAGAAGGAGAACAACAACAGCGGTGGCAGCAAGGATCAAGAGTCTAGTCAACGAGGCAGCAGCAGCAGCAGCAGCAATCAACATCCAGATCAGTTCAAGGATTCCAACTCGACCGGCGGTATGAATACAAGAGACAAGGATATGGACGACAATGCAGCCGATCAGAGCAAAAAGAGAGATCGCGAGAAGGAAAGAGAGAACGATGATGAGAACAAAGATGATGTAAGTACGAGCCTATTATTTTTTTGATTCCAAATACTTACCCACCTAAAATTCCTTACCCAGACAAAGAGACACAAGAGGGCCTTACAGATAAATCGATCAAGGACCAACAATCAATCACCACCACTTCAGTTCGGTGCACCGCCACCCGCCCATAAGGTATCACCTCCGTTCCAATCGCAAGCACCAATTATCCAGAGAGATTCTCGCGATCACTCTCGAGAAATGAGAGAGCAAAGAGACAGAGAGGCCAGAGATCGAGACACCAGATCCAGCAGTAGGAGAACGTAGAGGCATCACAGTTGTGGTGAACTTGTTGTTGTTGTTGATAAATACCAAACAATATATATTATAATTAATTGTATCACTTTGTTCACACTGGTAGTAGTTGGCAGAAACTCCACACCCATCCTACAACTATAAACACACACTCACACACACCACCATCATCACCTGATTACCCTTGATTGGAGGGTGTGTGACTGGACGTGATGATGTCTTTGTCAATCTCAAGATCATGTCAGGTTGTTATGTTGTATGATTAATTTGACATTGCGGGCAGTTCTGTTTAAGTGAGTGTGTTGTTGTCAATCATCAAGAGATAGATGATCATGATATAATAATATTGAGTAAGGGTGGATTGATGATGGAGGGAGGGATGGATGGATTGACGTATGTCGGCTCCAATGCTAAGTGTTCGTAATAAAAGGTAGACATTTAGCACTAAAGCATTACTAGATAACATGTACTTGTATTATCTACCACCACTTACATCTGGCAGGCATACCATCATCTTCATCATCACTCATAAACACCGTTGAGCATATAGGATAGCAACTGTTGTTGTTGGACAAAGGAACACACACTGAACACATCAAAGAGAGATATACTCGTAAGTGATCATATTAAGATTATATCCTGATAGATACATTGACATCGTGAATATTCTAAAGTACACATCATCATCATCAACTTTCATCATCATCCTCATTCATCAACATCATTATCATATCTTTCAAATCCATCTTTATATTACTACTCATTATTATTTAGAAAGACATGTCTACACTAGAGAATGGTAAGAAAAAAATAAGGATGTCCAATATAATATTATAATAACAAATACTTATAATAAAATTATTTAATTACATCATAGATAATGGAACTGAAATGGATACAATGCCACAACAGTTGTCATTTAGTGCCAATGTAAATTCCCAACTACCACAATCACCAACTATCGTTGGAAATGTAGATACACCTGGAGGTCCCTTAGTGAATGGAAGGAATAGTCAACAATATGGTATATCAGACAACAATGAATCGCTCCACTCTGCAATTCAAAACTCCAACATCAACTCATGTGCCACACCCTATCACGAATTCTCGACAAAGGCATCATGTGATGAGCTCACCTTTACCAGTCGTCCACCTTCAATGCTGTCACTTCTGTTTAGAGTGTGTATAGCATGGTTGTTTGGACTGGTAAACATGATCATCCTGATGTTGTTTAACCCAAGATTCTCCATGCAATTCATCTGGGGAGTGCTCTCGGTTGGATGCCTGATGACTGCCATCTTTGCCGTGACCTGGGCCAGTCTTTTGCTCAAGTTCCGAATCACCTTCCTTATCGTATTCGTATCTGCTATCTACTGGCTGGGTACACCGATCACATGGCACATACTCTACACGTCCGACATGTATCCTCCACCAATCGGAGTGTTCACCTGTATATTCCCATTCGAAGGAGTGATGCTGGTGCTAATGTGTTTCCTACTGCCAAGAACCATCCGTAACCAACAGGGTATCGTCAAGAAGGTCATTGCCGCCTACTCATCCTTGGTAGCTCCATACCTCAGCTTTGTTAGTGGACTTGTCTACTTTAGGCTGTTCCAGTATTCCACTTCCAACGTTGGCAGAATTCTACTGCCACCAGCCTACACCATCGTGATGAAGTGTATCCAGCTGGGTCTGGATATTATCTGCGTGCGTTGCGCCCACTCTGCCTCCAACCTGCTGATCGTGCTAGGTCGTGTCATCGCATCCTACTACTCATTTGCCGTACTCAGTTTCGTCAGGAATCCAGTGTCGATTGTGTCCATTATCTTCTCCAAGATCGGACTGCATCTGTTCATGTCATTGTTCATGGTGTTTCCCAATATCGAACGCAAGATCGTCTCGGTGTTGCCCAAGGGTCTGGTTGGCTGGAAGAACAACTTTGAGAAGGGTGTCACCGATGATACTACATCAACATCCACGGATGGTGCCTCTGACGTTGTTATCAAGAACGAGTTTGACAAGATGTTTGTAGAGAATGGAGCACAGTATGGCCGTCTGCACTCTGACGCCACCAACCTTTGGTTCTCCATGTTCTCCGACGGCATTGCCATTGTGATGATTCTGACACTGTACACGATGGGTCGTTTCGGACCAACCAACTCTCACTACAATGTGATGTTCCCCTTTGGTGACCTGTCAGAGGTGTCGTCAGCGTTCAACTTCAACACGTTCATCGTCTATTTGATCATCTGTCTGTTGGCGCTTGGATTTGCCTACGCCATCATGTGGGTGGTGCTCAACGTAGTGATCAAGACACTGGATATTCGCAAGGTGTTCCATTTGGTATCGGTCAACTGGTTCCCCTTGAAGCACTTCTATGTGATGTGTATCAACCACATGATGGCCTATGTGATTGTGGTGGTCGCACTGATGCCCGATCTGTTCTACATACCCAACATTGACTTCTGGACTACTGGTACTGTTGAGAAGTAGAAGTCTAATTAGATCAAAAAGTACTATACTATATCAACAAATAACAACAACAATAATATAACTTCATTGTATAATAATAATAAATTATCCTTAACAAGATTGTCTGTTTGTCTGTCTCTTGTGGAGATCAAAGGGTTTGAAACGACCACATCTAACTCTGCCAAACAAACATAAAGCTCACCACTTTGAAAGTCGTCTATTTATTACTTATCAACAACACAACATGGACTTATAATGTCGGCAACAACATCCACTACATCACAATCATCAAGTACTCCATCATATTCAACAACAGGTATTCCTTCAAACAACAACATTTATAATCACAACGACAAAAATAGCAATAATAGTAGTAATTCTCAATGGTTCTTTAGCAGTGAATATATTGAGAGGCATTATGGTGACGATTATAAAGCAGAACTTACATCTCGACAAGCAAGCTGTGCTTTCATACAAGAATTAGGTGTCAGGTTGAAATTGTAAGTATCGTCTACTAGGGTCGTCTACAAGTGTAGATATTCTGCCTAGGCGTCCATCCACCTGACACACACATCTGTTCTCCATTCAGATCACAGTTGACGATAGCAACGGCGACAACATTCTTTCATCGATTCTTCATTCGACATCAACTAAGAGATCATGATCGATTCGTATGTACAGGTGATCACCACCTGTTTAGGTGCTCATTCATTCTGGTTTCTAATACAACATGTTTAGGTCATAGCAACAACATGCTTATTTCTCGCTGGCAAAGTTGAGGAGAAGCCTCGCAGGTTGTTAGAGGTGTCGTACTACTCTTACAAAGAGAGATATAAGAATACAGAATGGTCACAAGACTCTCCTGTATGTATAAAGACGTTATGTTTGCTTGTACAGCAATCAATATGAACTCTAACCAAATTCATTCATTCATATCCCTTCAACGTAGGAGGTGGAAGCACTAGCCAACAATATATTAATCAACGAACACCTTCTATTGACGACTCTGTCGTTCGACCTTACAATAGATCATCCTTATAAATACCTACTTGAGTACACAAAGATCATACCAGGTATCTATCTATCTCTCTGCATCAACGCCTCAACAAACACCTCTCTAGGCCCCCATGCACTAACTAGTTCATCTATACATTGCAGGTAGCAAGGTACTCTGCCAGGTGGCGTGGAACTTTTTAAATGACAGTTTGCGCACCAACCTATGTCTACGCTACACAGCTGACCTGGTGGCATATGCATCCATTCTCCTGGCCAGTAAACACCTCAGTTTCCCTCTGTCGCAACAAGGCAAGAGGCAGTGGTGGGAAATACTTAATGTTAAGCTTGAGCAACTAGAGGCCATTGGCAATCAGATTCTGGATCTCTATGAATCACCAAATATTCAATTGCGTCAACAGATATCGACAACTACCTCCACCAATGGCCGAAGCAGCGCCAAAGAACCAGCAAATGTTGCTCCATCCGATCGACTGAAACATGGCAACAGTGCAGAGGACAGGAATGTAACAACACCTGGTTCACCTCTGCCACCACCTACTGAAAGATATCAAGACAATCGACATTCGTCATCTCGATCAACTGGTGGGGCATCAGGAAGGGGCAGCACTTCGGACCAACAGCATTATCAACGACGCCACGATTCACAAGAGCATGCTCACCAATCCTCGTCAAACAACTCCTCAGAACAACACCGCAGCTTTAACGAGCATGCTGCTGGAGGCACTTCACATCAACAGTACATGTTGTCTCCAAATCACAATCGACAACAACAACAACAACATTCAAGTCGATATTCACCATATTCGAAACATAGGAGTAGCTCTCCCTCCAACAACAGGGAAAGTAGAGGAGGTCACCATCACCACCACGACAGTAATAGTAGTGGGGACACTAGAGAGCATCGGAACAATGACCATAGAAATAGAGATAGAGATAGAGATAGAGAAAGAGAAAGAGAAAGAGAAAGAGAAAGAGAAAGAGAAAGAGATAGAGATAGAGATAGAGATAGAGATAGAGATAGAGATAGAGATAGAGATAGAGAAAGAGACAGAGACAGAGAGAGAGAAAGAGACAAAGGAAGTAGGCATAGAGATATAGAAAGTGATAGATTTTTTGATGGATCAAAGGACAGGGAAAGAGGCAGAGACAGAGATCGAGGTAGAGAAATGGACAGAGACAGAGAAATGGACAGAGACAGAGACATAGACAGAGATAGAGTTCGAGATAGAGATAGGATAAGTGAAACCAGAAATATAGATAGATAGATAAAGAGAGAGAAGAGGAGGGAGGTGTAACCACTGAATGATTCAGCCCACCACCACAATGACAAACCCCTTAAGCTTAACAACTTTGTTGTTTGATTACTCTAAGCAGCAAGCACTTGTGTTCATTGATCACGTGTTTACAAACTTGTATATATATATTTGTATTTCTATCATATGACATAGTATCCATCTATTATAGAGTTTAGATAATAGTAAACCAAAGACAGAACAAAAAGAGACAGAGATAATGTCACAATCCGAAGTTTTGGATGTATTTGTTGGCAATGAGGAAATAAGCGGGACCATCTTGGAAAAGTTTAGAGTATGATATGTTACAATAGTACCTTATCCATAAATGTTATTAACTGATACACTCCTATCAATCAATCAATTAACAAGGATCAAAGTCCAGATAAAGTGAGAGTAGCATTTGTAACGATGATCAATTCATTCACAAAGATGATAACGATACGAGTGAACAATGAACGATCCTACTCTATATATGCAGGTTACAATGAGGGTCTACTGCGAGTAGGTGGACTATCATATAGTTTTGTTCAGTTCCCCATTGATCCAGACCAACCAAATATCCTATTCTCCTTCTGGAAGTCTAAAGAACTTCAACTGTTAGAACGTATAACAGATAGGAACTATTCAGTCAATACACTCAAAGGAAACACAGTGGTCATATCATGGCCTAATAAGAATAACAATCAATACTTCTTGGATCGAAACAATAGAGAGACTCCTGATACCTTGGGTATTAATAATCCATTCAATTGAGTTATATTTATAAGTTAATAAACAGAATTATTCTGTTGGGGAGATCATATCAAGTTGTTTTGGTCTCGGTCTTGTTCAACAACAAACTAAACTTCACTTTCATTAATATTCGATATCAACAACACCAAGAATCAACAACACAAATACAGTATGGTCGACCACAGGGACAAAGTAGGTACTCAATACTCACTCAACTTGAGTCAAGTTTGATATTGACATCACAGGTGTCAACTCTTTATCTAGGACCTGTTTAGAGAGGACATCATCAAGTACTTGAATGCAGATGATCAATGCTTTGAATATGCCGTTGTTGCCAAGCTGGCTTGGGACGATAACGATATAGAGGATGACGATACTCAACCACAAATACTCGTCAAAGGTGTAAAGGACCTCAATGACAAGGTGGATGAAGTGGTTGAAGACGAAGAAGATTACGTCGACGACGATGACAATGACGATGACTATGACGAATATGAAGAAGACTTTGATGACGACGACGATGATGATGATGATGAAGATTACCATGACGCAAAGGACCATACAGATGGCACAAAAGCAGCATATGTGAGACCTCATGGTGATGATATCGAGGATAGGATTAACAGGTACAGATTCAAAAACACAACTACTGGTGTACTTCTTCAAAAGATCAATGGAGATCTGATCGAGATGGAGTATGAGCAATTGACATTGGTTGACAGGGCTCTTTATCTTGCAGAGACTGTTCAGCGATCAAAGGAGCAAGGACAACAACTGGGCAAGGTTCTTTCGATTCGAAGAAACTATAACCTATTGCCATTCAACTATGTCATTAGTGAGCAGGGACAGAGCAATCGACTTGGTCAGGACATAACGCACTTGTTGACCATCTCGAAGGTTCGACCTCCTAGTCCCTACGAGACTGGTGCTCTCGTCATGGACAAGACCAAGAAGGTCATTGGCAGTGTCGTTGGTGTATGTAGCTTCTCGTCATTTTGTTGTGATATCAGCTCAACTGACATTGATCTATTATTATAGGAGAAACTTGAACTACGTATTCAATCGATTGATCAACCAACACTGGTTGGCAACTTCCCAGCAACCCGATCGATCATGGTCGAGGGTAACTATGATGACAGCTACTGTCCTGGTAAGATTGTCACGAGCTCCATTGGCAAAGGTCTCCTCCTTGATGTGATCCCAACCAAGGTCAACATAAACTGGCATTTCTATATTGTAAGTATAATCATCTTGATCTCCAATGCCCAACAATACATTGACCAACCACTAACCTAACTCACACAAGGATGAGGACGCTGATGTGCCAAACGAGAACATGACACCAAATGATCTTATTCTGCTCGATGATCAATACAACTACTCAATTCTTGGAGAGTCAGTTATGTTTAAAAAGGGTAAATGACTGCACATGTAGGGATAACATTCATTGTTGACATACTTACAGACTTCCATTTCACTATAGATGATGAGCAAATAGAACAAGGTGGTATCATTCTTTACACTGAATCATTTGTCAGAACACTGTGGCAAGATGGAACAGTCACAGAGGAGCCTTCTATTAGTCTACTCTGTGTGGACGACCTTGCCACTGACTACTTCCCTGGCGATGTCGTCATCCCCGTGGAGCAAGAAGGTGTTTGGGGCGTCGTACAGAGCTACAATCCACACAACAGAACATGCGCAATCAATTGGATCAAAGATGGAGCGATTCAGAGTGAGAGCGATGTCTCTGTCTACCTGATAGAGTTTTTGGAGGAGTGTAACTTTGACGAGTCAGACTTTGTTTACTTCCTATCACAAAGCGCAGACAGCAGAGGAGATGCAGACAGTGACTTCAAAGGGGATGTGGTTGGACAGGTCATTGCAAAGCTGTGGGATCAATGCAAACTACTGGTCAGATGGAACAATGGCTATGAGCAGTTGGTCTATCCTCAACAGCTTGGAATTGTTGAGGAGTTGGACAGTGACGATGAGGAATACAGTAACAATGACTATGACGACTATTACGAAGATGAGGACATCATTGACACACCACCACATGGAAACTCAACAAAGTCTCCATCATCTGGAAGTCCTCGATCACATAATATTGATGAGCTAGAAAGACTTACAATACAACCAAACAACAGCAATATACCCAATGGCATCATGACCAGACACGACAACGACACGACCGACAATACCACCACAACTACCAACACCGACAGCACAGATAATAATTATAATGATGGCAATAGAGACGATTGTGGCTCATTCGAACTACTGACATCACTGGAGAATCATGCCTACTACAATGAAAAGACAACGATGACACCAAAGTTCCTTTCCACCATCAACAAGGAATTCCAAATGCTTCAACAATCACTACCCAAAGGAATCTATGTCAAAGCATTCAGTGAGAAGATGAACCTCCTACAGGCATTGTTCATTGGTCCATCAGATACAGTGTATGTATTGACCTGTCTACCTATCAAATGCTAACGAAACAACTAACATTGCCCCGATAGATATGAGAATGGAGTATTCATATTTGATATCTATCTACCTACTCAGTACCCATATATTCCACCCAAGGTATTCTATCACAGCGTAACATACAAACTCCATCCGAATCTCTATGTCAATGGCAATGTTTGTCTGAGTCTGCTGGGAACATGGCGCGGAAACAAGAACGAACTGTGGCAGCCTGGTCTATCAAACCTGTTGCAGGTGTTGATCAGCATTCAAGGACTGATCCTTGGTTGCAAAGAACCCTACTTCCTGGAGGCAGGATACGAATCACAGATTGGAACCAACATTGGCAAACGAAATTCATCACTCTACAACGAAGAGGTCTATCTGTTAACACTGGAGGCACTTCTCTTTTATCATCAGAACAAGCCATCTGTGTTTGCTGACATTATCGATAGGCACATTGCTGAGAAACGATCAGAAATATTGTCAAGAATAGATCAATTCTTTATAAGTACCAGTACAAACAACAACAACAACACAAGCGATATCAATAATACCGACAACAACAATAACAACAATAACAACAACAACAACAACAACCAATCATTGTTCCACATTACACTCCCACCCAGTACAGGATTTGTACTTCCTTTGAACAAACTTAAGACAAAGATCGAGAAGATAAATGTTCCTCCTGTTGGACAATAAATTCTACTATGACAATCGAAAGATCTCCAAGCTCTGGCCTTATCCAACATATATCTTGGGTTCTAATGCTACCCAGGGTAATCACACACATCTGGGTCAAACAATTCTGTGAAACTTGGGAATGGTCAGCAGGTGTTTCATTTCAATTCGATCTCAATGTTATGTTGGTACAATAAGAAGACATTGCCAGAGACTTCATTGATTCGACACAAAGAGATATTATTTAGATAGAAAGATAGATAGATAGATAGAGTATATGTCACGTCAGAATCAAGGCTTAACAAGAGACAGATTTCAAAGCTTCCTTGATTTAAAGGAACGTGTAAAGGCCACAAAGAAAGAGAATGACAAGAAGGAGTTTATATCATTCATCAAAGAGGTACAATCCTTCTTCACACTTGATATCATTCTAGGATGTCCTGGCTTGCTCACCCTCCACCACATTGTGCACTACTCCTCATGAACAGAGATCATTCACACCAAAGGACAACAACAGTCATCTGTGACACAACAGTTATTCCCAAACATATTCTCCAATAAGAAGACTGTACCTGTCGTTCAACCTACGAACCAAAAGAGAGACACATTGGTAAACAAACCCTATTGCTCAACTTGTGGGTAAGTCTCAACCAATGAGTTGTTGCAGCGACAGGGACATCAACTTGAGTTGTGACACTGACACTTCTCATTCTTTTCAAAGCAAGGAGTTTGGATTGTTCACATCAAAGATTGCTTGTGATCTTTGCTACATCAACTATTGCTCTGCTTGTATCACAAAACTGTCTAGCAAGGACATCACTGGTGTGCTCAGAGAAGGCCAAACAAAGAACTACTGTGTAGGCTGTCAATTCATTGTCACACGAGAAGAGAACAATCGTCGATATGAAACACTGGTACTCAAAGCAAAGGATGAACCTCTCTTTGTCATCTACATTGAAATCACATTGTTGAAAAGGGCAATACACTCTGGAATGCCAGGGTAGGTTATCAATCGCGACGACACCGACAACAACAATAACACTAACAACAATTTGTTAGATTCGAGTACCTGGCATCATCGATCAGTGATTTCACAACAGCATCACCAAAGAACAGAGAGACATTCCTTCAGGTCTACGATGAGGTGATGCGCAATCAAGTAGAGTTGGCCACATTGTTCAAAGACTTTGATCGACTGGTCAAGGCAATAGCCAACCTTCAAACCACATCCAACTCCCAAGAGATTGTAAAGGCCAACATGAAACATGTCTATGTCAACTTCTTACAACAATACCTTCCAAAGTTTAAGACCATTCAAAGTGTATGATTGACTTCCTGGAGTTGGATCGAAACAATCCAGTTGACTAATCATCACCTCTCTCACTCATTCTATTTACAGCAAGTTCAACATGTGGAAATGAATACTGCAACAAATATGTACATGGTATTATGCAGGAACGTTCTGGATAATCAACTGAACGCAGAGTTCTGGGATAAATATGGTGGAATGTTCCAGAATGCTGTTAGAGTATGCAGGAATGATCTCTTCAATGCTGCCATCAAATGTGGAGAGGATTGGGAGAAGCACAAATCATTGATTGACACTTCAATTTGCCAGACCAATAAGTCTTATCTAAGTTTAGATGTATGTATCATAACAATCAATCAACATCGTCATATTCTATTATCATCATATTAACATTTAAAGGACACACAACAGGGACATCCATCCAAAGAGTTAGAGGGAACATTGGTCAGGAAGAATGCAGGCACAATCAAAAAGATCTTGGATCAAGTCAGTCTACGTGTCACTCCTGAGGATCTGGTACAATCGAGGAAGGTCTTACAAGAGTTGTATTTAACATTATCCAGAGAGTATGAAAGAGGTCTCGTATTTTAATTAATTAAATAATAATTATTTATTTAATTTTATTTAAATTAACTTTTTTGATAGATTGATTTTGAAAAGGTGTGAGAAGAAGTTGTTGTTTATTGTTTGACAATCAAACGTCGTTGTAATCAAACCTAAAGATAACAATGGGTCAGACAGAGAGCAAAGGCAATGGAGGCTCTCACTTGAATCATCTGCAACAGCAACATCAACAACAACAACAACAACAACATCAACATCTGGACCAACTACAACAACGTCAATTGAATCATTCGATAATTGCAGAGTACATTACAACACCTGGTGGACCCACCTCAACAGACAGCAATGAGGACTCTGGAGATATAGACATGGAGCACACTGGTAAACTTACCAATATACCATATACATCATTCAGCTATGATAAACAACAACTACAACAACAGTCACCTCCACAACAAGTACAACCACAACAACAACAACAACAACAACAACCACAAGGAATCATTGATCTATCACAATTGAACCAAGATTACTACCAAATACCAATGCGACCTCTTGTCATCTCATCAGCACCACTAGCTCACCATGAAGAAATGGAACCTGAAGAAGTTATAATGTCCAAGTTACCAGTGGTATGTGACGTATAACATGTTGTCGCGCAAACACTGTATTTGTACTAACAACTGGACCAACAACAACAACAACAATAGATGATGCCTTGCTTCACAGACTCTCCAAAGCATGACCTTCACATTGACAAACAACAATACAAGAATACATACAGCCCATTTGGAGAACCTTTACTACTGGACAATGACTCAATGTCAAGGGTGTTCTCCATATTCAAGGTCTATCTTCAAGAGATCAACATTGACCTTGACAAAAGACAGAACAAGCTCAACAAGAAGATCAAAGAGATGGAGATGCTCTGTACCAAAGCCAATCAACTCATGATAAAGCACTCCACATTCATGAAGCAAGTCATTGTAACATTACCAGATGGTATGTATACATCTACATCCCAATGACTGACACGTAATCTAACCATCAAACACATCACATCGTCAGTAAATAAGCTTAACCAGAGTGTCAAGGATACTCAACAGAACATGGACTCTGTCCTACAAGCCATAGACCGTTTGACAAGAATCTTGCCAGACAACATGCAACAGGAAGCATACGAAGAGTATACAGAGACATTACAAAAGTCACCAATGTACAACAGTCCAATACAGACATCAAGCACCACCAGCCAATCAGAAGGAGGAAATGTAAATGATAACAAACTTTCAATTGTCTGTCTGTAACATACTCACTCTCAACTACCCTACACAAACACTCAGTTCATAATCAAAGGAGTATCAAGTATGATACAAAGAGTAAAGGACCGTAAATCAGTTTGGATCAACGATATACTACCTCAACTAAACGCGATCAAACACACTGCTCGAGTCAGAGAGTATACCAGAAAAGGTATTGACAAGGATATCAGAGGACTGGTATGGCAGACGGCAATTGAGAATCGACTGAACATTGAGCCACAGCTCTACACACGCTTCCTCGACAAGTGGGCCGCCTACATTGACCTGCCCAACGTGGCTACAGAGCACGCACACATGCAACAACAGCAACAGCCTCATTTCTTTCTCTCACCATCACCACTGTCACCACCGATTGGCTTCAATTCGACAGAGGAAGCCATCCTCAAGAGCTTCTCAATGATTGACGTGGATCTTCCTCGAACATTTGCCTCTTTCTACTTGGTGAATAGCGAATCCTCTCATTTTAGGAAGCAGCTTCAACGTATCCTCAAGGCCTATGCCAACTTTTCACCAAAGATGGGATATGTTCAAGGCATGTCCTATCTTGCTGCCATCCTACTACTACACATGGAGGAGTATCAGACCTTTGTCTGCTTTGCCAATCTTTTGAACAACAGATTCCTACAATCTCTATTCCAGATGAGGATACACGAGGTATATATCATCCATCTTTTAAATGGTACACCAACTCTAACAATAACATCACTTGACAACAACAACTTAGGTGGACATATATATGAAAGGATTCGATCAAATGCTTTGTAATAGTATACCAAGAGTGTACGAACACTTTCAAGACATTGGCATGGTACCTCATCACTATCTCATTCAGTGGTGGCTAACAGTCTTTTGTCAGTCACTTCCACTGCAGACGGCAATTCGAGTATGGGACTGCTTCATCGTCGAAGGAAACCTCTTCCTATTTGTCACTGCACTTGGCATTCTATACCTCTACAGGAAGCAGCTGGAGGAGGGCAGTCTGGAGTTCTGTAAGAACTTCCTCTCTGACCTGCCGTCTGATCTGGACGCAGACCTACTGTTTAAAGCAGTTGACAACATCAACATACCATACTGCGCCCAGGTGCTATCTCGTTCAGAGAAGGAGCTCAATGACGACAAGGATCTCTTGATCAGGAGTAGTCCTGTGTATAATTACAACATCAGTAGCAGCGATGATGCCAAGCGAGACCGTAAATTCAATGATGATGAGGATGGATCTCCACTGGATACACTAAACGATAGTTTGCTGCCAACTCCCAATTGATTGATTGGTGACAAGCTCGCATCCACTATCCGTGGTGGAATCATGATCATTGAATAAAATGTATGGACAATCGATTGGTGGTGTATGTCTGCGCTGTATTGTTTGATTGATTGGTTGATTAAAACTTTCCACCACATTGAGTACAGAAACGAGCATCTAAGCTCTTTGCTGGTATATTGCACTTGGAACAGGTCCTTGGTGAGGTGGGTGGACTGTTCAATGAGGCCAGATATTGCTCAGTTGGTGCCAAAGGATAGGAGTGCTTCACATTCTCCTCTGGATTACAAAAGATTTGCTCGTGAATGCTGAACATAGATTGAATGAATGTATCGTCATGACATGATTAGTAGTGATTTTTGCTTTGTTGTCCCTCTTTCTCTCACTCACTCCTCTCTCTCTCTCTCTCTCTCTCTATCAGTTGAATACCTACGCAAATACCTTTGGTGCAGCAGCCAGCTCCTCCTTGACAAGGAGTCCATGACAAATCATATGATAGTCCTTGATTTTAAATTTAGGTTAGAATTGTTATTGTTGTAATTTCAATCTCCCTTTCTACCTTCCTTGCTACCTCACACACACACGACCTCTCTGTAACTCCATTATAACTGCTGGTGCATCATAATATATGTTTACCAACATCAATCAATCAATCAAACAATTTGTCTGTCTGTCTGTCTATCTGACTACACACCTTTCCCTTGTAAAACTGACGCTCAGCAAAGTAAACTCTCTTATTGCAGTATGGACAAATCGATGACATGTTTCAAGTATTAGTAACTGTTTGATTAATAGTATGTATTGTAAATGTTTGTTTGTTTGTTTGTTTGAATGATTGATTGAAAATGTTCAATAAATGATTCAAGTTTCTTTTCAAATAAATTGTCTTGATCCGATGTTCAGTAGTTGTTTTGCAAAAACAATTCAAGATTTTTCATTCATTCACAAACCCATCAATTATTTTTTTGGTTTTGGGTGGGTTTATTGCATTCGGCACCAAACACTGATACTTCTGAATGTATGGAATCAGGACAGCCACCCACGTATCATTACACCACCTGCTAACATTATTATTATTTATATCTTTATATTTATATAAACATACTTACTATACTATTTATTGTTGTACTATAGATACCATTATCGTTGGTAATAGTTATTTCTAGACAAAATGGTAAGTGAAGCGAATGATACAGGAACACATGATAGGATAGAGAATGAAAGTATACTCATACTCTCCACTATTTATAAATAAATACAATATATAGTCCAAGAAAGTACAAGCAAAACAAGGAACAGATGACCTTGTCATGCTTCCAAAGATCTCTGAAGAGGAGATCGTTGAGAATCTTAAGAAGCGTTATATGAATGACTTTATCTACACCAACATTGGACCAGTGTTGATCTCTGTCAACCCATTCAGAAATCTCAACAACACTGGCGATGACTACGTCGATGCCTACAGAGGCAAGCACGCACAGGAGGTGCCACCCCACATCTACCAATTGGCCGAATCATCCTATCGTGCCATGAAGAACGATCAGGAGAATCAATGTGTCATCATCTCTGGAGAGTCGGGTGCCGGCAAGACAGAGTGCGCCAAGCAGATCATGAACTACATCTCCAAGGTGTCTGGTGGCACTGAGAAGGTCGAGTACGTCAAGCACGTCATCCTCGGCTCGAACCCCGTGCTCGAGGCCTTTGGAAACGCCAAGACGCTGAGAAATAACAACTCCTCGCGTTTCGGAAAGTACTTTGAGATTCAGTTCGACAAGGCTGGTGATCCAGTCGGAGGCAAGATTTACAACTACCTCTTGGAAAAGTCACGTGTCGTCTACCAGAACCATGGCGAGCGTAACTTCCACATCTTCTACCAGCTGTTGGCTGGTGCCTCGGCACAGGAGAAGCGCGACCTCGTCCTCTCCAGTCCAGACAGCTTCTACTACCTCAATCAGTCCGAGTGCTACCAGGTGGACGGCGTCGACGACAATGCCGACTACCGCGAGATGCGTGAGGCCATGACCACCATTGGTCTGTCCGACGAAGAGCAATCCACTCTCATGCGTATCGTTGCCTCAGTTCTGCACATTGGTAACATATACTTTATCGAGGACGACAAGGGAAATGCAGCAGTCTACGATCCAAACGCATTGGACCTCGCTGCGTCCATGCTGTGCATCGACCCAGCCACCCTTCAAAATGCCATCCTTTTCCGTGTGATCAACACTGGAGGTGCCGGTGGTGGTACAGGCAACCGTCGTTCCACATACAACGTGCCACAGAATGTGGAGCAGGCCAACGGAGCAAGAGACGCTCTGGCCAGAACCGTGTACGATCGTATGTTCACCTGGCTGGTGGAGAGAGTCAACGTGGCCCTGTCCTACTACCAGTCGCCCTTCAAGAACGTCATTGGTATCCTGGATATCTTTGGTTTCGAGATCTTTGAGAAGAACGGATTCGAGCAGTTCTGCATCAACTTTGTCAACGAGAAGCTGCAGCAGTTCTTTATTGAGCTGACGCTCAAGGCCGAGCAGGAGGAGTACGTTCGCGAAGGAATCAAATGGGAGCCAATCAAGTACTTCAACAACCAGATCGTGTGTGATCTGATCGAGGGCAAGGCACCACCAGGTATCTTCTCATTGTTGGATGACATTTGCTACACGATCCACGCACAGTCCAGCGGTACTGACCTCAAGTTCTTGGAGAAGATGGCCGGTCTCTATGATGGACATTTGCATTGGAGATCAATGACCGGTGCCTTTGCCGTCAAACATTATGCCGGTGAGGTAACATACGAGGCAGAGGGTTTCTCTGACAAGAACAAGGACACCCTGTTCTCTGACCTGATTGAGGCACTCCAATCCTCAAAGATGGCCTACCTGGCCGGTCTGTTTGCCGGTGATGAGACTGGTGCCCTTCAAAAGAAGCGTCCCACCACAGCTGGTTTCAAGATCAAGAACTCTGCCGCCGAGCTCATGAAGACCCTGGCACAATGCACACCTCACTACGTGCGTTGTATCAAGCCAAACGAGACAAAGAAGGCCAAGGACTGGGAGAACAGTCGTGTCAAGCATCAAGTTCAGTACCTCGGTCTGCTTGAGAACGTCCGTGTGCGCCGTGCTGGTTTCGCCTATCGTGCACCATTCGAGAGATTCCTTCGCCGCTACAAGAAGCTGAGCTCCAAGACTTGGGGTCTATGGGGCGAGTGGAAGGGTGATCCCAAGGAGGGTGCACGCACCATCTGCCAGGATCTCAACCTGGACCCATCGCAGTGGCAGATGGGAACCACCAAGATCTTCATCCGTCATCCAGAGACTGTGTTCCATCTGGAGGAGGCACTGGATCGCAAGGACATGGACTGTGTCATGAAGATCCAAAAGGCATTCAGAAACTGGAAGGCCAAGAAGCACTCGCTGGAGCAGCGTGCTCAGATCGCCCATCTCTTCTTGAACAAGAAGGAGCGTCAGAGAAACTCAATCGACCGCAAGTTCACCATGGACTACCTCGACTTTGACAATCAGTTTGGCGTGCAAGAGGCAATGGAGAATGCCCACAAGAAGGAGAGAATCGTCTTTGCCGACAATGTGCTCAAGGTCGATCGTCGTGCCAAGACCAAGCCATTGATCATGGTCGTCTCTGAGCAGTCCGTATACTTTGTCGAGAAGTCCATCAAGAAGAAAGTTGAGACCTACCTGCTGTTGAGAAAGATTTCAATCCGCGACATCCGTTCGCTCTCTGTCTCGACACTATCCGACAACTACGTCGTCATGGGTCTGCCCGAGTACGACCAGGTCATTGAGAACGAGAGAAAGACCGAGCTGCTCATCATTCTCATTGAGAACTACAAGCTGCTCTCTGGCTCTGCACTCAACGTCAATTTCTCTGACAACATCAACTACACTCTGAAGAAGGGTGAGCAGAGAACTATGACATTTGCCAGGAACGAGGCCGCCCAACCAATCCCATTGCTAAAGAAGGGTGGCAAAGGTCCAGCCGTTGGTGTTGCCACCGGTTTGCCCAGCTCCACAGACTCTACACCAAAGAACTACAACCAAAACTCAATGCAGAACGCCCAGGTCCGTGCTCCACAGGCCCGTCCACAACAACAAATCAACACTGGTCCAGCTCCAAAGGTCGTTGTTCCTCAAGGTCTCGGTGCCAACATGATGGGCGGTGGAAGAGGTGCTCCAATGGGTGGCGGCCGTGGTGCCCCAATGGGTGGCGGCCGTGGTGCTCCAATGGGTGGCGGCGGTGCCCCAATGGGAGGTGCTCCTATGGGTGGTGGCCGTGGCGCTCCACAAGGTGGCGGTGGTGCCCCAATGGGAGGTGCTCCTATGGGAGGCGGCCGTGGCGCCCCTATGGGCGGCGGTGGTGCTCCAATGGGAGGTGGCCGTGGCGCTCCAATGGGTGGCGGAAGAGGTGCTCCAATGAATGGCGGCGCACCACCTCAACAGGTACGTCCCCCAGTTCAAAAGCAAGCTGCTCCACAGAGACCAACAGTGACTGCCTTGTACGACTTTGATGCCTCGTCAGGAGATGAGCTGACCTTCAAGGAGGGTGATGTCATTGTTGTCATCCAGAAGGAGACCGGAGGTTGGATTGAAGGAGAGCTCAGAGGTAAGAAAGGTTGGATCCCCGCCAACTACGTTCAATAAGTCATTGGAATATCCCAATGTCCATATGTTTCAACAACAACAACAACAACATAAACTACACCACCTCTTCTCCTGGCAAGACGACTACCGACGACTACGACATTAATCATTCAAACCAATCAATCAACTACTACCATATCATTCAATCAAATAATGACAATAATAAATATCTTGTAACTCTATGATTCTTCCTTAGTGGTTATGACATGTGATTCATTGATTGAAGAGAGTCAAGTCATCTTGAAAAGCAACCTCGTCACCTTTTGATGATTCATTTAGGGTTGATGATCATGCATTGTCAGTTCATTTACAAAAACACAGGCTTCTTTCATTCAAAAGAAACAACAGATAGAAAAGATAGATAGTTATTTTAGAGATAGACAATCAATGGATAAATCATTGATAGCATTTATATTGGCATGTGTGATACCACCATTCTGTTTGTTCACAACATTGCCTTCTCTTCAATTGCAATGGAGGATCGTCCAGTCATCGATCTTTTCATTTGTTGCTGGAGTGCTTGCCTACAAGTTGATTCCAACCATTGCTGAGCTCACTGCTGCAGCTGGTTTGGCTGGTACAGACCTCAACAAGAGAGGACTAAAGCAAACAGAGAACAAGAAGATGTAGGTGTTTTACTTCATTCTCTTTTATTGTTTGGTGGTGTGGTACACATCTCACTAGCTTGCTAACTAACTTTGGTCGACCTTTACACCACAACACAGCCCAGAGAGTCTTGGAATTGTTACCTCTGTTGTATTCCTAGTATGTGTCATATTGTTCCAACTGTTCCAATGGTTCTCCTTCCCAGAGGCAATACAAGTAAGTTAGATTCTTTTCTCCACTACTGGTGCAATTGTAACATACTCACAATATCAAAATAGTTAAGTGAATACAATGCAGCATTGACATCAATTTGTTTCATGATATTGCTTGGATTCAGTGATGATGTATTGAATCTTAGATGGAGATACAAATTGATCCTGCCAATGTTTGCCACGTTGCCACTGCTCGTAGCTTATGCTGGTGGAACGTCCGTGGTGGTACCAAATATCACTTTCCCATTCAATCTGCGTAGCGTCCTTGGACAGGTGTTCGACCTTGGCATCTTTTACAGGATCTACCTCTTGTTGTTGGCCATCTTCTGCACCAACTCTATCAACATCCTTGCCGGAATCAATGGCCTTGAGGTTGGACAATCCGCTGTGATTGCAACATCGATTATCATCCACAACATTGTTGAACTGCGTCTGCACTATTCATCATTGTCACAGGTTGTTGACGGTGTGCTCAACCAGACCCTGTTGCCAGCATCGCCCCATCTCTTATCATTGGTACTGATGATTCCATTCCTCTTTACCACCTTGGCACTGTTGATGCACAACTGGTATCCTTCACGTGTCTTTGTCGGAGATACATTCACCTACTTTGCCGGTATGTGCTTTGCAGTTGTTGCAATCCTCTGTCACTTTAGCAAAACCCTTCTACTCTTCTTTATCCCTCAAGTAAGGTTATCCCAAGACACACATTCAGTTACTCGTTGTTTGAACCTAACATCATTCACCTCTCATCTAGATTCTCAATTTCCTCTACAGTGTTCCACAGTTGTTTGGACTTATTGAATGCCCTCGCCACAGAGTGCCGAGATTCAATCCATCCACTGGCAAGATGGAGGCCATCCCAACCAACCTCACTATATTGAACCTTTTCCTTATGATCTTTGGTCCAATGACTGAAAAGAGACTCTGTATCACTCTCTTGATCTTCCAAGGATTTTGCTGTGCCGTTGGATTTGGTCTCAGATATTACGTTGCCGATTACTTCTTCTAGACAACAACCTACCATAACAACATAATAAACATAAAAAGATAATAGTATCAAGAACCCTTTAACGGGTATTGGTTTGAGTGATGACCTACAGAGATGTCCAGTTGTCGGTGACTGACGCCGCGTTTATTGATAGACATGAGCTCATGTTGACCAACACTGTCGGAGCGGCGCAAACGGTTCAATTGGCTGCGACCACCTCCACTTGGTTGTTGGAAGCTTCGATGATGAGCACTTGGGCTTGCTCAATGCGTTCATGGACCTTTCCAGTGGCGAGCAGCTCAAAGAGAGCCTTGACGTCTTGGAGTGAATCGAGAATCATGCCAGTGATCTTGGGTGCAGAGTCTGGGTATCTTGCCATGACCAAGTTGTAGATTTCGCCTCCAATGGCCTCCTTGGCCTCCTCTGGGGACATTGCCAACACAGACTCGAGCGTCAGTGTGGTGGCAACAGGCTGGGGAGCATCTGCGCCGGCGGCCACAAGGGCTGGAGAAACGTCGCCACCATTGGTGGCTGGTGTTGGGTTTGTTTGTCTTGCGCTGTTGTTGTTGTTGTTGTCCTCACCTTTCCTTTGTTGATTGTTGTAATGTGGGAATGATCCTCTTTGCTTGCGGAAGCCTCTCGATGGTCTCTGCTGATAGATTGGGCTCTGAGTTGATTCAGTGTTGTTGTTGCTGTTACCATTTTGAGTGGTGGATGAGTTGTTGTTGTTGTTTGAACGACTGCCTGCAGAACCATTGGTCTTTGTGTATCCCTGACCCATTGGCTTTGGATATCTGACGCCTGCTGCTCCTCCTTGATGGGGGACTGGCATTGGATAGTACTGTGGTGGGAAGGGTTCTGGATATGGACCTCTGAAGTAAACGTAGGGAGGATACTGAGGGACTTGCTGATGTGGCTGCTGGACTCTCTTTTTGTACTTCTTGCTGGAGAAGCTGACGCCAATCTCCTTGGCACCTAAAGTCTGACCATTCATCTCCTGAATGGCCTTCAAAGCCTCCTCGTGCGTAGAGTAGACAATGAAAGCGTAGCCACGGTTCTTTCCATTCTCATGGGCAACCACATTGATCGAAGTGATTGCTCCGTGCTGTGAAAATCTCTCTCTTATCAGCTCCTTGTCGATTGACTCGTCGATGTTGTTGATATATACTGTCAAGTTCGCTTTGTTTGAGTCAGTGCCATTGGTTGCTGCTGAAGAGTCTTCAGTCTGCTGCTGCTGTTGTTGTTGCTGTTGCTGAATTTGCTGTTGTTGTTGCTGTTGCAGCTGCAGACGGTATTCAATGTTTCTCTCTATCTTGTTCTTGATGCGCTCGAGACCAATCTGTTTGTCTAAGATGGTGATAACCTCGGTAGAGTTGAGCAAGTTCTTGGCAACCTCTGGGTCCTTGAACTCGACGAAACCGAGTCCCTTGGGCTTTCCATCTGGATCGGTTCTGATTGTGCATGACTCAATCTCTCCAAACCTGCTCAGCTCCTGTTGGATAATCTCAACAGTGGCAGTCTCGTCCAGGTTCTTAATAAAGAGTTTGCTCTCATTTCTCTCCTTGAATCTCTCGAATTTAGAGACGAATGGTTCCACAGTCCTGAATTTGATTGATTGAGATAATTAGTGAATGTGGAAATATATAATAATAATTATAGCAACATACACTTGTTTACCGAGTAGGATGATGCCATTTACTTTCTGAATGGCACTGTCGGCAGCATCGGCAGTCTCAAAGTGGACATATCCGTAGCCCTTGGAGATACCCTTCTCCATCTCGACCTTGCAGGAAAGGATGTTTCCATACTTGCTGAACGAATCGTAGAGCATGGCATTGTCGACAGCCTTGTCCAGGTTCTTGACAAAGATGTTTCCAACGTTGGATCTTCTGCGGGTTGGATCACGCGACGACCACATGATCCTGATTGGTCGGTTCATCACGACGGTGTAGTTGAGTGTGTCAAGGGCACGCTCAGCATCGGCGCTGGTGAAGAAGTTCACATAGGCGTAGCCCAACGAGCGGTAGCTCAGAGAGTCGCGACAAATGTGGATAGAGGCCACGGCTTGAGTGCCAATCTTGGCAAACAGCTCTGCCAAAATCACCTCGTTGACGTCTGGTGCGAGATCGCCAACGTAGAGCGTGGCGAATGATCCAGGGTAGTATGGAGGTGGTGGTGCTGACATAACCATGTGAGGGGCATGTGGGTGGAAGGGTATCGATGGCATCATTGGTTGGTGATGCATTGGGTGGAATTGTTGTTGTTGGGTTTGTGTTTGTGATTGTTGTTGTTGTTGTTGGTAGTGATAGTTCATTTGTTGTTGTTGGTCAAAGGCAGCATTGTCGGGCAATGCATTGGTATTGCTGACAACATCATTTGGACTGTCATTGTTGTTGATTGGCTCCATGTTTGTTACTGTCGTGATCGATGTGGTGTTCTGGAACTAATCCTGGTACTGAACTCCGAACTTAAATAATATTCTAATACTGCTGCTAGAGTATGATCGGGTTGAGGTTGTTTCCTGCTACTGTTGCTGCTAAATGGCTTATTGCTGCTGGCTGGCTGCTGGCTGGCTGGTGTTGCTGGCTGGCTGCTGGCTGCTTAGGCTGCTGTAGTTGTAGTGGGCAGATGAACTCTGACATAAACACAGACGAGCATCATGATAAAGCTTCACCCGAATCAAAAAAAAAATAGAAAAAATCATTTAAATTCAAGTTGACCTGGGTTGATTTTGAAGGAACTTCCTTTTCCGATGGGATAAATGATTCGTTTTATAAACCAGGCTACCGCAATCGTGATAATGGTGTCAGTGTAGTGTGATGTCATGATCAAAGATGTAAATTTATTACTTTATTGGGTATAATGTTACATGGTCCCCAGGTGACCATTGTTATAAACGTAGTAGTGACAAGGAGATTGGATGTCCAACTGACTGTGAATCGGTGTGTTTGATATAACTCTGAAGATAGTTGTACAGGTAGGTTTGGAAGATAATAATACAATACTTATATGTATAATAAATAGGTGTGAGTGGATGAGTGAACTTGCTATCTACAGGATACTACAATGAGTCTTTTTCTTTGCCTTGTTTGGATCCTTGGCACGGATCTGCTTGACCAATTGTTCAAAAGCATTGGTAATGTTTGTCTTGGTCTTGGCAGAGGTCTCATAAAAGTCAACAGCACCGCCCCACTTTTGAATTAGGGCCTCTCCCTCTTTGGTGGACACTTGACGATCCTTATCCAGATCACATTTGTTTCCAATTACAACCATAGGTATACGTTGTAGAGGCGAATCCTTTACTCTACACACCTGGTCCTTGATCGACTCTAGTTCCAGGAAGGTGCTCTTGGCAGTAACACTATAAACCAATAGGAATCCCTGTCCATTTCTAATATATAAATCTCTCATTACAAGGAAGTTTTCCTAAATTATTATTATTGGTTTGTATGTTAGTTGTTTGATTGAATGGAGAGAGTCCAATTTATATAAAACATACAGTTCCAGCAGTATCCATAATCTCCAACATTACATGTTCATTACCAACTTCAATTACTTTTCTATACATGTCTTCAATGGTTGGATCATATTGGTCAACGAATTCACCATTTACATATTGAATAGTGATTGCAGACTAGGAATTAGTAGTAATATATATATACATGTTAGTCAATGATGTCTACCATCAATCCCACTTTTTCCACTATAATACATACTTTTCCAACACTTCCACTTCCTAGAAGTACTATCTTAATATTGTTGCTAGACATTATTATGTTGTAGTTGTTGAATTAATAATACAATAATATTAATAATAAATAAACTTTTTGGTTTGGCTTATTTGGAGTTAGAGGAGGAGGAGGAGGAAGAAGCACTGATCGAGTGAGTTTGATATTGTACGGTCCACTTGGTTTGTGGTGGTGATGAAGGGAATGACAATGATCACTTATTACTCTTGGGTCAATATAAATATATTATTATTATTGTTGTTGTTGATGGTCTATATCTTTGCACTTCTACCACAGTTAATTAATCAAACAGTGTTTAGTTGGTTGGAAAATGAAGTGGATGCGATTGTTGTTGTTGTTGTTGATGATGTTGTTAGGTAGGTCAGTAGGTAGGTAGGTAGGTAGGTAGGTGGACAACACTGTTAGTTGTTGGTATAGGAGAACAACGTTGGTATTTTATAAATTGACAGAGGTAACAAGATCAACAAGAAATGAAAGTGAGGGAATGAACAAACATGTGCTGGTGTTGTTGTTGTTGGATCGATGGTTGGAATGGAAGGATATTGGATAGATGGATGGAGTTGGCTTTGGTTTAATGGCTGATGTTCTTGCTTGCTCCTGTTATTATTGCCAATAACAATAATAATAATTGATCGTTGATAAGAAGCTGTCTGTCTGTGTATGTTGTGTGTGTGTGTATGTCTATGTATTAATTATTAGTATTATGGCCTTGTCTGTGTGTTATTGTTATTTATTTCAAACTAACGACTAATATCATTAACACTGATTGATTGATCAATAACATCATTGATGTAGTATGTATGTGTGTGTGTGTGTGTGTGTGTGTGCCAAGGTAGGTATGATGAGAACACACCCATTCAACACACACACACATACTACCTGGGGTTGAATCACCTGTCTTGAGAACACCCCAAATCATGTTTAATCTCTCTCTGTTCGTATGACCCGAGTGAGTGATCATTGACTGTTGTATGTTTATGTGTTGAGAATGTTTGATCATTTACCTCTTGGTGTCTAGTTGTCAACAGGTTGTGGTGACGAACCTAAAATTAACTTGACTGGAGATTCTCTTTCTGATGGTGATCGTGTGTGTGTTTGACACGTGATTGTGTAGAACCAGAATAATCTCATTCCAACCAACATTGATCTTAAGTTGAACTTGCTATGACATCGAGTGGCACCGACAAAGATTAAACGATAAAAGTGTAGCTCCTCATTACATTTGTCCAATTTCAGGTTGAACCAACTAACAAGAGAGTAAAGCTGAATCATTGCTGATTGATGGAAGGATGTGCGGTAAGTTGATTGTCGGGGACAGACATTATCTGTCCGATTGTATTGAAGGAAGAATATATTGTCTATTCAGTCTTTCATGTAATGAAATTCAAATCTTTCCACCAGGTCGACTATCTATCTTTGGTGGTCTGGATCATAAAGATCATATCCTTTTATACTTTCATTCTGTAGAGAATCTAGTACAAAAGATTTGGTCCATTAGTGAATGGATGTTTGAGAACAATAGTAACCCAAAGAATATCAGTTTGGTGATCCATCATTATGTTGTATATGTGTGGTTGTTGGGGGTGGACTCTACAAGATCTTGATTGAATACCAACATAACCCAGAACAACTCAACTCTTCACTTCTTCATTTGATGTTGTCAGTCAGACAAACTCAACTTCGATAAATACTCTCATGATAACTTCATCTATTTCTAACCTTGGTGTAAACATTGATAATCTATGTACCAGACATAGATCCAGTCTTTGTTTAATTTATGGTGATAAGGAAATGGCTTGGCAAACAATTGGACCAGAGTATAACTATTCTACACATGGTGACCAACAAGCATACGAGGATATTCTTATAAGACAAGAATGCACCGAGGATTGCAAGAAAGCTCTAGTGATCAACTTTAAACGTTTCAAGGTTTGGGCTGACAAATGGATTATGTTGATAGAGGCAACCAAGATTGGTGTTGACCCGACTAAATTCAATAGTCCCCATCCCCCGCGAAACCATTATCCATCATCTCATGATGACTACAGTCTTTACCTTCGCAGGGCGTTTGGAAAGGAATATATAAAAGAGTTTGAGGACACCTTCCTCTTACATCCCCTTGACAAGAAGAGTTTCGAGATCAACTGGACACGCAACATGCTCGACGAGGATCAGAAGTCCAAGCGGATTGAGCACGAGAAGCAATTGAATGATGCTTTGGTTGCCCTCTGCCATAAGCGCAAACGTGAGGATGTAGTGGAGACGCAAGAGGATGTCACCGATGACGATGGTGCTTATACAACCACATCATCAACAACCACCACAACCTCCACTGATGAACAGCATCAACAATAAAGAGTACTTGTTAAATTGTTTAACCGGTTGGTTATAACCATGGAAGGATGGATATAATGTTATTCTGTCTTTCGTGTAATGGATTTCAAATGATTCAATCGTTCCAGGAGGGTAGGATGAGTGTAGTGGTAGGTGGAGTACCATGGGTCGACCAGGAGAGACGAGCTATCTTTGGTGTGCAGCTTGACCAGTGGATCAGAAAGATCATAGCCAAGATGTGTAGCGAACTCGTCAGCCTCATATTCATTCATTCTGGAGAATATGTTGCAGACAAACGTGAAGATTTGATCCATTGGCGAGTAGATGTTTGAGAACAATAGCAATCCAATGAATATCTGTTTGGAGATCAAGTTGTTAGTGTGTGTGTGTGTGTGTGTGTGTTTGGCTTGTTGTTTGAGGTTTGTGTCCTGCCGAAAAGACATTGAATCCGGGTCAACTTACATTGGGCGTATCGAAACCAAAGTCATTAAAGAGTTTGATGTTGTTGACAAACAGTCCAAACAGGTAGAAGAAGGCTAACATGTATACCTGTTGCAAGGCCATCAATCGAAGTGTATGACTCTTCTTATAATGTCCAAACTCATGACACAGGATGGCCAACACCTCATCATGAGATAACTCCTTGACCAAAGTATCATACAATACAATACGCTTGTTTTTAAAGAATCCATAGAAGTACCTGTTTGTTTGATTGATTGATTGATCATCCATTGGTCAGTTAAATGAATGAAAGGTGAGAGGATTGTCATATTACATACGCATTCATATGTCCACTTCTCTTTGAGTTGTCAACAATGTACACCTTGGTGGCAGGGAAATCAACACGCTTGGCAAGCGTTAATATGGACTGGAGTAGTTCTCCTTCGACTGGTGTATATGTGTTGAACAGTGGCGCAATGAATATTGGATAGATAGTTGTCAACAATAATGAGAATCCAAGTAATAATAGCCATGAATCTATAGATTATGTTTGAATTGGTTGGTTGGGTTGGTGTCAGTGTGATATCCAATCACTCAATCAATCAATCAATCAATGACATACAGAACCAGAATAATGGACCTGACCACTTAATCACAGAGATCAAACAAGCCAATATAGGTGATCCAATTGCTGTAATAAGTAAAAGTACAGTAATCTTATCCTTAATAAAGAGCTTTGTTGTAATCTTATTGAATCCATGTCGATCCTCCAACACAAATGCAAAGTAGTAGGAGAATGGAAGGTCGATAATCGTATAGATAACAGAGTATACTAACAACAGTACAATTGAAATAAGTATCTGTTGAATGATGAGTAAGTATGATGTCACTTTGGAGTACTTGCTCTCCTCTCACACACACATACCTCATTGTCAGAGTCGATGAATGTTTGTAATATGTTGGTGGAGAGTGTCCAGAGGAATGGTAATAGTTGGAAGCATATCGATAGTACACTCAGAATGAACTGAGTCACTTTGTTAACTGAGCTAAACACTCTGTTGTGATGATGTGGAGGTCCATCGTTAGAACTATAGGTGATTGATTGATAGATTGGAAGAACGTACAACTTATCATATCCATAGAGTTGTGACTTTGCAAACTGTTCAGGTGTTGTTATATTGTAGGCGGCAAGTGAATTGGGTATAGTCTTGATCTTCAATTGAGCTCTTTGTCTACTGTTGAGATACTGAGTGGCAGCAAGCTCAACTCCAGTGCACACAATAGAGAACACTGCCCAGTTCAACATTACTTCCTATCTACTCTTATACTACTACTACAACTATTACAACAAGTCAATCGATAGAATAGTTAACTTCAAAGATCAACTTGAAAGTACTACTTTTTGTTGTGTGTGATTGATTAGTGGGGGTGAGATGGGTTGAAGGTGTGCGATTGGTTTCACCTCTGTTCACCAATGAGGTACAGGGTTAATTCAATTGGGGACAGACACATACTTGAAGAGATAAGGAGAGAGAGTAATATAGATAGATAGATAGATAAAAGGAAAGAGATATAATGGCTATTACATCTCTCTTTAAATGGTTAAATGCACCAGCTGTATGGATGGTAAAGGATTCTTCAGAACTCACAGCAATGACTGATGCAAACACTGACTTTTGGAAAGACACTTGGTATGGCTTTGATCGATTCACTGGCCATGTATATGGAAAGGATGTTGCAGAGGACTTTGTATTCCAGGTGCGTGTAAATGCCCAGTTCAAAGAATTGTACGACCAAGCTGGCATCATGATCGTCATTGACAAGTCCACGTGGGTCAAAACAGGTATCGAGCACAACGATGGTCATCCCTCCATCGGAAGTGTTCTAACAGTCGGTCAGTCAGACTGGGCAACTGCACCCTACTCTGGCGATGCCAATCGGTTCTGGATGCGAGTTACAGTGACCAATGGTTGTCTTCGTATTCAATTCTCTACAGACGGTGCAACATGGCCCTTACTCAGACTGTGTCCATTCCCCAAGTCAACATCATACTTTGTCGGTGCCTATTTCTGTAGTCCTTCTCGAGCTGGACTATCCGCAACCTTCTCCGACTTCAAGTTTAGTTCTCCACATGCCGAAAACAAGCACTTGCATGATCTGTCATAAGGTCGGTAATCAAAGAGAGAGAGTGGAGTGAACAAGTTATGATAGCGTATAAATACATCGATAGCTTTATATATTTTGTATATGGATGGATTAGATTAGATCCTAACTACCTCACATTGATCAGCATACTTGTAACTGATAGGTGATTGAATGGATGGATTGTTGTCGTCAACAAAGTTGGTGTGTGGATACTCGGCCATGATCTGACTGAACACTTGAGGCGTGACCTCTGTGCAGTTCTTCATGATGAAGCGTCGCATCATCTTGGCCTTGGTCATGACGGCTGTGATTCGACATCGATGGATAGGCAGTGACGAGAGGTTGACCTCCTTCAAGATGACCAAGTATGGGTGTAGCTTGATAAACGTCTCGTCGTTCATCATTACCGGCTCACCTGTAATATCGTCAAGGAACTGGATGCTGTCAAGTGAGAGTGACTCGAGCATTGGCAACATATCGAGCAGGGATGTGAGCGAAGACAGTGTGACTCTTGACAGAGTCATGTCAAACGATGTTACGAATCGCATTGGAACAACAAAGGCCTGATTGGGTTGGTCGTATATCTTCTTGTAGGCACTGATGAATGATGGCAGATGGGTTTTGGGAGGTAGATGGAGCCTCTCAAGGAAGACATGCTTCCTTATCAGGCTCCAGACCATGGTTGTGTCGCCGGAAAACTCGGGCAGCTGTAGCTCCGTTAGCGAAAGCTTCAGCTGACCAAGCATCTGCAGTCCATGTTCGTCACCAAACTTGGTCTCACCTAGGCTAAGTGAGGTTAGCAGCATGCTCGGTCTAAGAGCATCGATGATACTGATGTCTGCACTGGTATTGTTGAGATTGAGACTGATGAGGCATTCAACCGTGGCGCTGATGATGTTGGAGATACACTTGGCCGTCAACTTGGTGCAACCGGACAGGTCAAGCTTAACCAGGTATTTACATTGCTGAGCGATCAGCTCTCCAGTGACATCTGTCATGTTGTCCAATGAGAGTGCCAAGTGTGTAAGTGTGTTGGCCTCGATAATTGCACAAACACCCTTGTCCTGTACATAGGGCAGTGAACGAAGTATGAGCATGTCGACACTCTTCATCACCTTGCTCATTGCCTCCAGTGTCAGGTCAGAGATGGCCGAGTTGATGAGTGTGAAGTTCTCGATTTGTGACAGGTGCGGTATGAGCTCGCTGAATGTGGCATCGTTGATCCATGTGCCACTGAGGTGAACGGACGTCAGATGCTTGGAATTGCTGAACCAAGCGGCCAGCAAGTGGTCCAGACTGTTGATGTTGTAGAGATGCGAAGTTGCCACCGGTCCGTCCCTGACGTCAAAGTCGTTGAGGACAATAGACGTGAGCATGGAGAGTTTGGATGCTTCTTGAGCGATACGTGGTGTGATGACCTTGTTGGTGATATCCAAGCGGGTCACCTCCCTCAGATAGTTAAAGTAGCGACACATGAACGAATCGCCAAGATACCTGAGTATCTTGTCTGGTAGATGCATATGGCTAATCTCCTTGATGCTGGAGAATGTGAATCTGAAGAACTGGTCCAGAGGACTGCCGTCGTCGAGGAGGGATGCGAGATACATGAAGCTGATCAAGTCGTACACACGCAGCTTCTTGTTTGTCTCGCCATAGATGTCCTTGTTGTTGAGCGAGTTGGGCAGAGTGATCTTGAGGAATGGTGTGGCAATATTTCTGAGATCGACGGACCTGTGCACCTCCTCCAGCTTCTCCTTGCCCAGCTTGATATTCTCCTCAAAGTTGACGACGTCAAAGTTGGTGAACAGGTAAAAGGTAGCCAGCTTGCAGTGCATCATGCCCCACATGGCCATCAGAGTGAGGTCGTAGTTCTGGTTGGAATGGAGCATCCTCATCATGGTAATGCCACGCTTGAGCATGACATATGACTCTGTGATATGTGTCGACAGGTTGGACTTGAGTATCAATGAGGCCACCTTGCGAAGTGTGACCTTGGCAGATATGGGCATCGACATGTGCGCCTGGATCAGCTTCTCCTGACTCATGTCGATCCAACGAATCAACTCCATTGGCGGCACCACTGGTCGTAGCAAGATGTTCTTGACCTCCAATACCAACTCGGATCCCGAAGCAAAGTCCACGACAGTTGGATACTTTACACTGGACTCCACCTCGACCATATCATGAATAGATATGACATACTTTGGATTCGTTCCAAATTGCTTGTATGCCTCTGCGTTGATCTTGATGTTTAGCATTGTCATCAAACGATCCACCAATAACTTTGTATCAAACAAGTTCCTAACATCAAAGCTAAATGAAGGTTGATGGTATGTTAGTCTATGAATTGACTTGACATGTCTACAACCAACTTACTCTGAGGCCATCTCCTTCCTCGAGAGACAGTTGGGGAATGATCTCATCGCGGCAAACTTAAAGTTACCAGGTGCAGGTGATCTCCAGAATTCGTTGTAATCTTGATACTTGAGATGATTGAGTAGGATGTCAAAGACTTCCGCCATCAGCTGTGTAGACTCGTCGGATGGACGCTTGAGGGTGTCCATCTTCTCTCTGAGCTTGGCTCGAATCAGTCTCTTCCAGACACGTGCCACCAGCTCTGTGAAGAGTAGTGTCTTGATGTATCGGTTGGTCAGCTTCTGGTAGAGAACACCAATGTATCGCAGATTGACACCATGACCATGCAATATTGTTGTCAATCTCATGACCTCCAACTTGTCCCTCTTTCCAGTGCTCGTGTCTGCACCCAAGAATCGACCAAACTCTCGTGAGTATCGATTGTCAAAGAAATCAGATGCTGTGTCCACTGATGATAATGTTTCCTATTTTGATTGATCCATTGGTTGATTGATTAGTTGATAGAACTATCCAACTTATTAGAATATTACAAACATACCAAAGAGTTTTGAAGGTACTCTACACATGCAGGGATTATTTCACGATGGTATTGAAGTGTAAGATTGATGACCTCTTGATTACTCTCCTCCTCATCGGATCCAGTCTGCCATCCAGAGAATGCATCTGGACTCACTGGCTTTGGAGAGTATCTCAGCAACTCTGGTCGAAGCATCGAGTAGAATATCTGCCTGCCAACCTTGCCATGACTGGAATGAGAGGGAGAGGAGATAGTGTGTGAGAGAATGTATAACAACTTGATATAATCAAATATATAACTTACATCTCACTTGGATACTCTGGAGGGAATGCTCTTGCAAAGTCGATCATATAGTATCTACCATCAGTTCCCTTGTGAACTTCTATATCGCCTGGACCATAAATGAGTGTTGGATGGTTGAGACCAACGTAGTGACCTTTGATACACATCAGCTCGGCCATTCGCTTCATCTCCTGCTCGACCAGAGGGTCAGAGTTGTGAACTGTCTTGCCACCATCGTTTGAGCCATATACAATAGTGTTCTTGGTGATTGGAAGATTGGAGATGGCCAGTAGACGGTAACCTCGATAGTCAATGACGGCCATCAATGGGAATCGGATCAGACCGTTCGAGTACTCCATAAAGTGATTGAGACCTTTCAGTTCGTGACCAGCTGACTTTTGTGCCTTCTCGTCGGACCTACTAGTGTCACCATACATCCAGAGTCCAGGTGCAATCTCCACATCCACCACAAACTTAAAGATAATGTCGTGGCACTTGTATTTGTAGCCACCTGCGATGCCACCCAACTTGAGAGGCAGTATTGTCTTTTGTTCATTAGGTAGGTTCCTCTCTGAGATAATGATCTTGCCAAATGTATTGGCACAATATACAAAGTCTTAATCATTCATCATACAGATGGTCAGTGACTGGTCATCAATGGGAATGTGGTGATGTACATACCATTCGCAACAACTGATAGGAAGTGGAACTTATCTTGACTCTCTTCCAGGTCCATGAGATATTGATACTTCTCGTTCCAGGTGTATGCCTGACCATCCTCCTTGCGATGACACATGTCATTCTCTTTGAAGATGCTGACCTTTGGTGTGTTGTGTTCATCCAATACTACGTTATAATCGACGGGTTCTGTGTTGTTGGTCGCATACGCAAGGTAGGAGGATGATGTGTGATTGCCCTCTTCGATTAGGTAACTACCCGATTCACCAGGTGAAGTCTTTGATGTCGAAGAAGTGCCCATGTACAGATATGATGAAGGAGTTGAATGAACTGAATCGGCCATCACTGATGCATACGATGTGTATGATGTTTGTCTGTTCGACAGTCTATATAGATCGTATGCATTCTTTTGTCTTGATGATGATGATGTTGTTGTATTTTGTTGTTGTGGAGTTGGTGTAGGTTGTTGTTGCTTCTGTTGTCTTAATTGTTCAGCGGCAGATATTGGAGGAGGAGATAGAGGTGATTCACTAAAGCTAGGTGAATATGGTATTGATGTGTCCCTATTGATATTAGACCAATTGGATGACTTTCGCAGGTTTAATGTGGCCAAGTTGGAATTTATATTGTTCATATTATGTTGCTGTTGCTGTTGTTCTTCTTCTTTTTTGTCAACAACTGTTTGTTGTTGTTGTTCTTGTTGTTGTTGTTGATGATGATCCATATTGTTTTGTTATGTGTAATTAATCCTACACATTGATATTAGATAATAAATAGATTGATAGGTAGTTGTTGTTAGATTATTATTGAAATGATATGAAATGGAATGGATGTCGAGATGATGATGGTATTGCGATATGAATGAACAACTACAAAACAGTGTGAATGAGTGTTTTGGGAGTGGTGGAACACTGTTTTTGTTGTTGTTCGCGAATTTTGTATCTTTGTTTTATTGTTTTTGTTCCAAAAAAGGAAATAATAAATAGTCAAAGAGAGAGATAGAAGTTAAATAGTTCTTCTTCTACATCTTCTTCTTTATCAACCTCTTATAAATAGAGATATATATATTTATACTATTTTACCAAATGTAGTATTTGATTGATTACATAGATCTCTCACAAACTGAACGAAATGACTTGATGATGATGAAGTTGAGAATCGTATTGTTCATCGCAAAAAGGGGAGGAACCATTCAGAAGTTCATCAGTTATAATTTGATCAAATAGATAGATAGATATAAAGATAGATTGAGTGCAAATACACAATACAATCTACGAACATAAACTAAAAGATGCTACCTCTATCACTGTTACGTACTGGTCAAGGCCATCAAATTGTAAGTCGGTCATAAATGAATGATGCTATTCTATCAATGTAGTCTAACATTCAATCAATTGTAACAAACAACAATACAGATGGTCGAGCTAAAGAATGGTGAAACATACAATGGAATACTTGTCAACTGTGACAATTGGATGAATATCAATATGAAGACTATAGTTAGAACATCAAAGGTTGGTAGTACTTGATTCAATCATTCATCTGATGCTTTGTGCTACACCTACACATACACTTACACTCACACATATATACATACTTCAGGATAGTGATAAGTTCTGGAAGCTACAGAGCTGTTATATTAGAGGCAACACAATCAAATATATATCGGTGCCTGATGAGATCATCGACTTGGTGGTGGAGGAGGAACAGATTGTAAAGCATCACATGCCAACAGGTACTCCAGGCGGTCGCGGTGACGGAGGTCGCGGACGTGGTGGCGATTACAGAGGCGGTCGTGGACGTGGCGATGGTGCTGGTCGCGGCAGAGGTGATGGTGGTGCCCCTGGTGGTGGAGGCAGAGGAAGAGGCGACGGAGGTGGACGTGGACGTGGCGAATATAGAGGCGGTCGTGGTGGCAGAGGCGATGGCGGTCACCGAGGAGGCAGAGGTGGTTCATACTCCTAAAAGATATCGACATGCGACTATTGATATCAAATACAGCATAAACCYTTCTTGTAACTCAAGCAGCAATGATAGTGGACCTACTTCTATTCTTGTCTTTGCGATACGCACACTTTGGAGATGAGGATCACATTGCTCAAGTGTTCATTCAATCATTTGGCATCTTGTAGACAGTACAATACAGATGAGCGATTGACACAATATGGATGATTGTTTAGATTGTTAGATTGATTGATTTATTATTATGAATGGTGATAACTCAAAAGTTATATAGTGAATGAACCGATTGATTGGTGGATCGATCCAGTTTAGAGCTTCTTGACGAAGGATGGGTCACAGGTGAACTTGGGGCATCCACGTGGAGCTGATGGGATGGAGATCAAGTCATAGCCCTCATCACAGACGGCGATCGACAGAATGCATGGACCTGGTCTGACACAACCAGTCATCTGACGGCAACGGTTGACATCACGGCTGTAGACGGCGGTGTATCCGGTGGCACATCCAATCAATGGTGATGGTGGGCAACGCTGGCTTGGGTCAACAATGTTAATGTAGAAGGCGGTGGCAACCAACACTCCATGCTGGATGGTACCCTGAACGATGGCCTTGGTTGGGGCGGCAGTGGTAACAACCTTGTTGAACAACCACTCCATATCCAAGTGGCTGTATGAGCTGTATGGCTCGTGGAGGGCGTCCAAAGTGAGGAGGGCATCAGAGTTCAAGAGGGTGGCTCTCCAGAGGTTACTAAATTATTGGATAGGAATTAATATTAATAATTCTTAATTCTTTTGTTTTAGAATACATACTCGAATGAGGCAGAGTAGAATGAACCAGCACGGGCTGCTTGGTCCTCAGCACGGAGTGGAAGCAGACGGTAGGCCTGCTCGACGATCAATTGGCGGACAAGTTGGGTTCCGACGTAACGCATGGTTAGGTAACCGTAGACGAGGGTCTGGTCGTACTCAACCTCAAAGAGGATAGACTCATTGATGCTGGCGGCAAAGGAGACAGAGTGAACGGTGGTGTTCTCAGTGTTATCGTTGGCTCTAGTGACAGTCCATGATGGGCATGGTGTGGTGATGCAGACAACTCCGGATGGACGCAAGTTGAAGTAGGTTCCGTCGGTTTGGCCAAGAGCAGATGAGGCCATGAAGGCGCAGACCACAAGGGCGATGAATAAAGTTTGTTTGAACATTATTAAATATTGTTATATAGTATTATAATTATTATTTGTATATAATTGATTGATTGATAGTATGATATATATTTCCAGGATGATTTAGAGACTATTTATAATGATTTGAAGAGACATGGTTTGGTCCGATATTGATTGAAGAGGTTTGGTACTTCGATGAATAGAGGTATTAATTCCCAGTGCTCACTTTTTGGTTATATCACTGCAGATGGTCCTTAGACCAAGTCCTTACATCCAATCAAAATAGTGTCGTATCGGAGAGTATATTTTAATATTTACTACAAATAGATAGATAGAATTGATGATTAATTAATTAAGTAATGTTAATAGAGTCAATCTGCAAGTATAATAAACAATATGATAGATAAACAATGGCACTTCGTAGAATGGTATGAAAATTGGTCCAAGGTGAACTAACGAGTGGTATGTATGTATGTCGGGATTCAATCAAAATCAGTAGTGTTGGGCCAATCAATCCAATCAAAACCAACTACAACAAGATAKAGATAACTCTTTGTAGAGTATATAAAATACTCATTCATTCAATGCATACAATTAGTACTACTATTACTAAACAAATAATAACAATAATAATGGATAAGACTAGTCATTGTTGTTGATTTTCCAGATCTAAATTCTGTCATCATCATCTTCATGAAAATAACAAATCGTGTGTAGTGGTGTCAATATTGTACATATTCGCTTCCCTCACAAGTAAGCGACAAGATGTGTAACAATAGTAATGATGATCATTATTATGACTTATAAATGCTTATTATGTGAATGATTGAATTTTCATGATCTAGTTGACAACTACACCCTGTTTAATGGTGCAAGTCGTGTCAAACACACTCACCCCCCAAAACAAACACACTCTTTTTGATGATGTGAATTAATTAATTTTATTTATTACAAACCATTTTTGTTTCATTTAAAACTTTGGGTCGATATTGTTTGAAATTGGATGCTTGTTCGATGATCACAAGTACCTACCCCAAACCTCAATTTAAGCAACAACTTGATGTGTGTTATCATTCCAACACTAATATATAATATATCAGATACCATCACCTGTTGTTTATAAACACATAATTATATTTATATATATTAACTCTATGTATGTATCCCCTATTGATCACCCCATCCATACTCGTGGTGGTGGTGTTGTTGTTAATTTATAGGAAGAAAAGTGTTTGTCTCTATGTCTCTCCAAGTCCAAACCAATCATTCAACAACCCAAAGGACTTCACCTGCCCAACCACACACCACCTACAACAACCAACAATCATAAATAACATCAATGGATCTTTGAAACCAAACCATTTAACTAACTTAATTCCCTCTGTTGTAAATAATACTAATAGTAATTGTTGTTGTTGTTGTTGTAGTTATAACCTTAAAAAGAAAGAATGTCAACCGCTGGATTGGATAAAGCTTGGGAGAACACACAGAAGAAGGTAAGTTCACTCTATTCACTATTACATCATTACAACAATGATCATTGTTACCCTAACATTCATATACTATACATATTAGACCTTCACTAGCTGGGTCAACTCTCATTTGAGAAAGGTAGGCCAGTCGATTGAGAACATCCAGACCGACTTTGCCGATGGAATTAAGCTTGCTAGCCTTTTGGAGATCATCTCCAACGACCCAGTGTTCAAGATCAACAAGACACCAAAGCTCAGAATCCACAACATCCAGAACATTGGTTTGTGTCTGAAGCACATCGAGAGCCATGGCGTCAAGCTGGCCGGTATCGGTGCTGAGGAGCTGGTCGACCAGAACCTCAAGATGACCCTCGGTATGATCTGGACCATTATCTTGCGTTTCGCCATTCAGGACATCTCCCTCGAGGAGCTCTCGGCCAAGGAGGCCTTGTTGCTGTGGGTGCAGCGTTGCACTCAGAGCTACGGTCTCAAGGTGACCAACTTCCACACCAGCTTCCAGGACGGTCTCGTGTTCTGTGCCCTCATCCACAAGCATCGTCCAGACCTGCTCAACTACGACGGTCTCAACAAGGACGACAAGGCTGCCAACCTGCAGCAGGCTTTTGACGTTGCCGAGCGCGACCTTGACATCCCCAAGATGCTCGACGTCGGTGATATGCTCGACGTGCCCAAGCCAGACGAGCGTTCCGTCATGACCTACGTTGCCCAATACTACCATCACTTTGCCTCGAGCCGCAAGGCTGAGGCCGCCGGCAAGCAGGTGTCCAAGGTGCTCGACCTCATCATGTCGATCGAGCAGACCAAGCTCGACTACACCAAGCGTGCCACCGCTCTCGTCCAGTGGATCAACGACACCACCCAGAAGCTGCACTCACGTGACTTTGGTGAGTCTGTCGAGTCTGTCCAGGCACTGATCCAACAGTACAAGAACTACAAGTCCTCCGAGAAGCCACCAAGAGGACAAGAGTTGCTCGAGCTCGAGACCATCTTCAACTCGCTGCAGACCAAGTTGAAGCTCAACCACCGTGAGCCATTCGTCCCACCCGCAGGCCTCTCCCCACACGACATTGATGGATTCTGGTACAAGCTGGAGAAGGAGGAGCAGGAGCACTCTGAGGCTCTGCGCAAGGAGTTGAAGAGACAGAAGCGTATCGCCTACTACCTGCAAAAGTTCAACCAGATCATCAAGAGACTCGAGGCTTGGATCCAGTCCAAGGTTGCCTACCTCTCATCCAACGACTATGGTGACTCGATCACCGCCGTCCAGGCCAAGTTGAAGAACTTGGAGGCCTTTGAGGGCGAGTACCACTCATTGACCGAGCAGTCCACCAACGACTTGAACTCCATCCTCCAGCAGCTGCAGGAGCTCGGATACAGTGGCGTGCCACAGCTCTCCCAGAGACGTGACCAGTTCTTCTCTGGTGAGTTGAGCCAGGTCCAGTCCAAGGCCGACACATACAAGCAGGCCTTGCTCGACGAGTTGGCCAAGCTCCAAAAGATCGAGGACATGTTGGTCGATTTCGCCAAGCGTGCCTCCAAGCTCAGCCTCTGGATTGACTCTGCCGACGACACCGTCTCTGACCCAATCGTCGCCGACTCTATCGAGGGTGCCAACGAGTACCAGGCCAAGTTCGACGCCTTCTTGGAGGACCAGTCACACCAGTACTCTGAGCTCGAGGCTCTTGCCAACCTCACTCAGGAGTTGAGAAACTTGGGTCGTGCCGAGAACTCATACTCTGTCATCTCGTACGAGGACGTCTCCAACAAGTGGAACGCCCTCTTGGCCTCGATCGAGGAGCGCAAGGCCCTCTTGGCCCAGGAGCTCCAGGTCCAGACCGACAACGACGCCCTCTGCCAGCAGTTCGCCGAGAACGCCCAAAAGGTCAGCGACTTCTGCTCGCAGCAGACTCAGGTTCTCTCCGAGAACAACTCGGCCAGCGCCGACGAGCAGCTCGAGGTTGCCCAGAACGTGTTGACCGCTGCTCACCAGAACCAGGCTCTGTTGGACAACTGTATGCAATTGTCACAGCAGGCTGATGACCGCAACATCACCGATAACTCGCACACTCAGCTCACCATCGAGTCGGTCAAGATGAAGTGGGACAAGTTCATTGCCTTGGCCAAGAAGAAGGAGCAGGTCATCCAAGGAGAGATCCTCTCCAAGCAGCACACTGGAATCACCGCCGAGGAGTTGGCTGAGTTCCGTGCTTGCTACAACCACTTTGACAAGGACCACGACAATGCACTCAACCGTCTCGAGTTCTCGTCCTCGCTCAAGGCCCTCGGTGAGGAGCTGCCGGACGCCCAGTTGGATGCCATCATCGCCAAGATTGGCCAGAACGGTTTGGTGTCGTTCGAGTCATTCGTCGAGTACCTCTCATCGACCAGAAAGGGATCGGACACTGCCGACTCTACCCGCGAGGCTTTCAAGACCATCGCCGAAGGTCACGACTTTGTCAGCGAGGCCCAGCTCCGTGGTGCCATTCCAGATGCCCAGAAGGTCGAGTACCTTTTGGCCAACATCCCAAAGACTGCCCAAGGTTACGACTACAACTCATACGTCAACAAGTTGTACTAAAACATTTCAATCAAAGTCGTTGAATCATAATAATAAACATACCTCTGTATATCTCATAATAACTTATTTATTTCCAGGTTATGTGTTTAATGAACAACCCCCCATTTTGATTGATCACACTTATCCAGTCGATCGATCACACCCAGAAGTGGTTTAATCATTCATCACTCACTTGGTTCAAAGTCATTAATTAATAACACTAAAGGAAGATATAGTTATGATAAGAAGGAAAAGATATATTGGATTGTTAGTAATCATTGGTTTATTATTTGTAATCAATATTTTATATATATCAAAGAATGAACCATCAAAATTGGAAATAGTTCACAATCAATCATCAACAATAACAACTACAACAACGAATAATCAACAACAAGTGGAGGATGTCATTCCAACAACTTCAAATATACTTAAAGTTGAGGGGGATAAAGATTCCAAGATAGTTGTCAACACTACGTCATCATCATCATTAATTGAACCTGTTGTAGTAGTGATCACTTCAAACAAACCACAACATTTGGATAGATTACTAAAACAACTTGGTTGTAATATGTGGAGTCAGTACCAAGTTGATCAAGGTATTCAATGATGGATTGGCACCAATCAAGAATGTACTAGACAAGTATGACATTCAAGAGATTGAGAAACCGTCAAATGTCAGATTGCATGCCACTTTAAGTCTGGACATTGAGAAGGTACATTATACCAACATACTATATCAAGCGATGTTCCAGACTGTATTCAATCAACATGATGTTGCAATCATTCTGGAGGATGATCTAGTGATGGCCAAGGATTTCTATCAATACTTCTCAACAATGTCAAAGTTAATGCAACAAGATGATTCAATATTCTGTATAAGTTCATGGAATGACAATGCTTACAAATGGTCCGCTCTTCATAACAACAACAACAACAACAACAACAAGAATGGTACTCAGCCGAGCAACTTGTATAGCTTTAAACGAGAGGCACATTTTGGTGGACTTGGTTGGATGATTACCAACTATACCTATGTCAACAAGATAATACCAAGATGGGGACCAAACTATTTACCATGGGATGTACACGTCCAGAATGCAATGGATCCACATGATGTATGCATCTATCCAGATATACCAAGAACATATCATTCTCCAAAACTATTAAGAGACTTTCAATCAATATGTATGTATCCCTTATTACATCAATAGAGCAGGAATGTACAAACAACTAATATTACTATTTATTATAGATGATGGAGAGGATGAAGTTGATATATGGTCATATTATCAATTTAATATTAATGATATGATGTTGGATATATGGAATGGATTAGATTTGTCGTATTTACTCAAAGTTAACTATGATACCTATATCGACAATCAACTAAAGTCATCAATAGTGGTACAATCATTGGATGTCATACCATTTTTGGACAAAGGATCAATATCAACTAGTTATGCTCTACCAATTGATGATGTCACTTCAGATACTGATCAATCATGGGACAAGTATCTTCATAAGCTTGGACTAACTGGAAGAGGAAATGGTGGTGCAGTCAGATGTATATATCAAGGAGTAATCACATCATCTTATATTGGATCAGTGGTATATTACATTGGCAAATACTCTAGACATTACAAATCATTGAACAATAATCATATGGTCACTATCGATGATGTTGCCAATGGACTTGACTTTGACCCATCAATCACATCGATCAAGTCACTTGGTATCCTAAACAAGTTGATGAGAGACAGCACTCTCAAGTCAATAGTTGCAGGTCCTGGTCATTCATGTAAAGAGGCATGTTCAACACAATCTAAACAATGTTTGGAATCTGATCAACTTCTACTTCTGGATGACATGTCTACATTATATCGATTCGAAACAGTATGTGACAAGGTTATTGTGGCCAAGGATGATCAGATCAATGGCTGGCCAATCAGATATAGCAACTATACTTGTAGTATTCCATTGAGACCATCTAGGTTGAGCTGCCTACATCATCCACCCACTCTAGAGTTTAGTGAAGTTACAAGTCACTTCCTATGTATATGTAGAGACAACAACAACAACTAAGTAAAGGAGAGCACGAGCTCATCCGTTTACTCAGTTCATTATTATTATTATAATTATTGTACATCTGCTGGATATATAAATATACATCATCATGATTCATTCTTCATTCATTCATTATATATATTCCAATGTCGACATTGAATCATTTAAACAGGTCCACATCTTGAGATGAGTAACATTCCAGCAGTGTCTGATATTCCTATCCTTCTTCTGTTTACCAATCTAAGTTCCTTCATGATGGCCATCTCACGGAGAGTAGACTGTAGTGCGGTCGTTGTGTTAGTTGATTTGTAATCATCAATCAATCAATCAATCCAAAGATATACTTACAACACCTGATCCTATAAAGTCATGACTACCGTTGTAGTCAAAGTCCCATACTTCGATCTTGATTGGTCTTTCCAGATTGCCACCACAGAGAGCGTTGAGTGATAGAGTGATTGGAGAAAACGATGGACTCTGGTCATTGTGATGTGTCTCTGAACGATAGATAACGATCCAATCGTGTGATGAACCACCTCCCTTCTCATCGACGTAGCCTTGATATGACTTGTTTGCATAGTAGTTTCTTGGTACAGAGATCGTGAGGAATGGGTCAGATTTGGAGAAGAGGTCCTTTCTGTCGAGCTTGTATCCCTTGAACTGAAGCAGGTAGTTGACGTCGGGCACACCTGGGATCATTGGTACTGCCACTGCTCCAACTACAGTTGGAATACCCATTGGTCCTGTCATTGGCATAGCCATTGGAGCGGCCATTGGAGCTGCCATTGGTGCAGCCATGCCCATAGGCATAGGTGCAACACCGGGATATGATGGATAGCCACCTCCGTATGGTGATGGTTGTTGTGGTGGGTATGGATTTGAGCCATAGGCACCTCCAGTGGCACCATATGCACTGCTATTGGCTCCATACATACTACTGCTGGCACCGTATGCACTGCTATTGGCACCATAGGCACCGCTATTGTAGCCTGGGTATTGTTGTGGTGATGATGTTTGTGCTGGGTATTGTTGAGGTGGAAGCTGTTGAGGTGGATATTGCTGTTGTGGGGCAGCACCTGGGTATCCTTGAGGAGGATAGCCTCCGCCCTGTTGTGGAGGGTAACCACCACCGCCCTGCTGAGGAGGATATCCACCCTGAGCAGGGTAGTTATATTGTCCTGCACCTGGGTATCCACCACCGCCAGGAGCACCTGGAGGTGATGTCTTATTTAGATTGGTGCTCTGTTGTGGTGGTAGATTATATTGACCTGGTGCTGGTGAGTATGACATTATGTTATATATATAAATAAGATGTCAAAAGATATATATAATATTTATAGAAAGAAGAAAGTGATATGAATATGTTTGCTTGTGTGTGTGTATATATCGGTGTGCAAGTGGGGAAGGTAATGAAACAAAGATGTATGTATGTGAACAACATGTGTTTCAATTCAAATGTTTGATTAATTTTAATTAATTGACGATTTCACTCAAATACTTGGGACCTGGCACAGAGTTGTTGCCTACACTAAAAAGTGCCAAGTGCCCAGTCAATTAGTGACACTCTTTTGACATGTATCATGCCCAACGTTGTTGGGTCCCTTTGATCCGGGAATAATTAAAAGAAAGTATATTGATTGATATAAGTAGTTATGTATGTATATACAGTTGTTGTTGAAGTTATGTCCTTCTTGTTGGTGAAGCGAAAGAATATATTGCCAACATGTTGTTGTCTTGATTGATTACACTTTACATCTGGACAACACTATCATCATAATCTCTCTTGATGAATTGGTCGTAGAACTTTGGATTGATTGATTCAAACTGACGATCGGTATCAATGGAGAGTAGATGACCACACTCGGAGAAGAAGAATGTCAAATGCCACTTGGAATGAATACCGTAGAAGTCCTTGGCAGGGATATCGACAACAATCTCAAACAGACCACATTGTTCATCTTGATGAAGTTCTCCAATATGTATATTATGTTTGGACAGCAGTCTAAGTATATCTGTTCTTGTTATTTCATACTCGCTATGATCACACCATTCACAAATGGCATCCTTTAGTTCCTTGGCACTTGTCAGGTTCTCCCAATTTATCTTTAATATATTGTCCATTTGATTATTATTTAGAAAGAATTTATATTATATATATTAATCGTTGGTTGGTAGGTATGGTCGTTGAATTGATATGAAGTTGATTACTAATATGTCGTCAATCTCTTATCACAGTTAATTAATTACATACATATATATATATATAATTATGTTTATCTTTATAAGTGTAGGTTAACCATAGTAAACATGCTTATTGTTTGTGCGAGTGTTTGGTTGGTAGGTACCTTCAATACCGAGGTGGTGCGTGTTGTTGGACAATTGTGGTAATTAAGGAGTGTGATCTGTGTGAATGTCCTTTCCTAGCCAGATTGAGAGGGGTTATGTGAATGAGTTCCCCACCCATTGAGAGGTTCAATCCCCCACTCTAATGTTATTATTTGTGTCAATGAATATGTGTGTGTATTTAGATTGAAATAAATGAATGAAGGTGTTTGGTGAAAAAACGACGAAGAGTAACTCGATGTTTGTTGTTCAGACGAGGAGGGCCTCATCATTAATCATATCAAAGTATAAAGAGATAGATAGATAGATAGAAGTAGAAGAAAATGGGAAAGACAAAGAAGAATGTAAATGAGATGAATGAGGATGAGATAAAGAAGGCATTCGCTCAGGGAAAGATCCAAAGGAAGAAGATCGATGATGATGTACAACAGTTCTTGGATGACACTGCCAACAATCGTTTGGACAAGATCACTGAGGTCTTGCAAGATGATGAAAAGAAGGCAAAGCTACTCAATCAACACGATGCCAACAGACGTACAGCACTTCACTTTGCCTGTCACAATGGAAACATCGAGACATTCGACCTCTTGATCAATGCCAAGCCAGACCTAAACCAACAAGACTTTGTAAGTGCCCTACTCTATTACGCACAGAGGACGAGGACAGCTATAACTGACTGATCTACTATTACCTTACTCTCCAGGATAACTATACTCCTTTGATGTTGGCCATTAAGATGGGCAATACAAAGTTGGCAGAGAGATTGATTCAACTAGGTGCACAATTGGACTTGACAAACAAGGATGGCTTCACTGCTGTGCAGTTGGCCGTTCTTAGTGGTGAGACTGATATTGTTAGACTGTTGCTTCAGAGAGGTGCTGAAGTGTCAACAGAGAGCACAGAGTCTGGTTGTATCCTACATGCTGCATGTGGTATCAAGAAGGAGGACCTCGAGATCATCGATATGTTGGTCTCAAAGTATCCAAAGTTATTGTCCGTTATGGATGGCAATGAAATGACACCATTGCATATTGCTATCGGTAAGTGTTTGATCAAACATAGACCATGTTGTAGGACCTGTCACTGACATCATCCTCATTCATAACTTGAAACAGCATATGGAAACACAGATCTTGCTAAAGAACTTATCAAATTGGGTGCAAATGTTAATGCTGTTGCAGTTGGTGGATGTACTCCACTGCATATCTGTGTGGACTCTGGCAATGTGGAGGTGATTAAGGCTTTGATTGAGAATGGCGCCACTTTGAAACTCGATATGCATGGCGAGACACCATTGCTGATGGCACAAAACTCAAAGAACAAGACATTGGAGCAGCTGTTGGAGTCTGTCAAGTTGGACCCAACACCCTACAAGCCAAAGCCGTCGGCCAAGGGTGGAAAGAAGGCAAGCGAGCCCAAGGTCAGTGCCGAGGACCTAAAGGAGAATGGAAACAAGGCGTTCAGAAATGGCGACTATGACATTGCGCTCAACTGGTATCAGCTGGCGGGCAGCGTTGAGGATGTCACCAGCGAGATGAATCCCGGAGTCAAGAAGCAATCAATCGCGCATGTCCTTTTCAGCAACAAGTCAGCCTGCCACCTTCATCTGAAGAACTATCAACAGGCACTGGCCGATGCCGAGGAGACCATCAAGCTGGCTCCCAATTGGCCCAAGGGTTACCTGCGCAAGGCAGGTGCATTGGAGGCTCTGGGCAGACAAGAAGAGGCCCAAGAGGCCAAGGACAAAATGACGGCATTGGAGTCATCTGCAAAGAACTAAATTAAGTTGTTTGTTATACCAGAGTTTGGTATGATCGATCATCATTGTATGTGATTTGCGTTTTTTTGGACGGATAAATACTTTGGACGAGTCCATCCAAATAGGTCCATATCTGTTGATAATGTTGGCCTTGAATGATGACACCCGTCAACTTGACATGTTTGCAGGGAACAACCAACCTTACACCTAATTATCCCGATCTGTCACGTCTAATGCTCGTTGTGTTGTTTCACGCACCATTTATTTATTTGAATCATGCGTTAATGTTTTACCCTATTGGGCATCAATCAAAACAAGTTCAAAATTAGTATCTTGCAAGGGTAGACTTGAGCTTTGATTGGGGTCTACCCAGTCCATTAATAATGCCCAACACGGCAATGTGCTCAGTGTTGAGACATACATCTTTTGTATTCTCCGTACTAAGATTGTTGTTACGGTCGCTCATTCTCTTGATGGGGGGGTCAAGGGTTGTGTTCAACCAAACACTTGAACATTGTAACATAATCCATCAAGAGATATATAGATAACTTAAAGACTATCTCATCTCACCAACACACAATGAAGTTATTTGTAATACTATTATTATTGTCAATTAGTTTGACATTCATCCAATGCTCTACAGAGCAATCACCAGCTGCTTCAGCTACATCTGATATCTTTTTATCATCAAATCGCCAACACCATAGTGTCGATCCAATCATTTACTACAAAAACACTACCAACTACAATGATCACTTCCAGTCATACAACACTCGTCTACATCACGAGCCATACTGCTATTACCTACCAACCACTCCTAAAGAGGTATCCAAAGCTGTCAAGTTTGCCCTTCGTTCCAAGTTGCCAGTAACCATCAAGTCTGCCGGACACTCCTGTGACGCTCTATCCTCTGCCAATGATGCCGTCGTTATTGACATGTCTCTGATGAAGAAGATCAAGGTTGACACCCGTCGCAATCAGGCCACCGTCGAATCTGGTGTCACCTGGCTCGAGGTCTACAACGCCACCACTCCATTTGGTCTTGCTACTCCAGGTGGAAGCTGTCCAACCGTTGCTGTTGGTGGACTGGTTCTTGGTGGTGGTGCTAACTACTTGTCGCCAGCGTTTGGCTACAGCTGCGACAATGTCATTGAGATGTCCATTGTCAATGCTCGCGGACACTTGGTCACTGCCTCAAAGTACGAAAACTCTGATCTCTTCTGGGCTATGCGCGGTGGTGGTCATGGAGGATTCGGTATCCTTGTCTCGGTAACATACAAACTGCACGCCATCCCAGACTTGTTGTACAGCAACAAGATTCGTGTGCCATTCACATCCTTCGAGCCAGCCTTGCTCTTTATCGATCAGTACAGCCGCACCATGGAGAAGTCCATCTACCTCAACATGTTCTCTGGAATCACAGCTTTTGCCGCACCAGGAAAGCCACCCAAGGTCCCATTCATCTCAATCAACTTCTTCTATGGAGGCAATGCCACCGTGGGTCAACAGAAATTCTTCCAGTTCTTTGATGAGTTCAAGCTGGTCGTCCCCAACATCACCACCAACGCCACCAAGGATGCCAACCCTTTCTACAACATCATCGCTGCCATCTCCGACCCACCTCCCAGCCGCACCTACGTCCGTGGTCGTATGATGAATGGATGGACCCAAGAGAAGGCCGCCGCCCTCAAGACTTTCTTGTTGCCACCCGCTCTTCCATACTTCAACCTCTCCAACGATCCAAAGGCCAACCTCATGTTTGAGATGTACTTCCACGGAGGAGCCATGAATGAAAAGCCATCCGACTACAACGCCTTTGTGCATCGTAATGCCTCGTGGTCCATGTCGATCGCATTGAACTATTACAACGCATCACACGATGAGCTGTTTGGCACTTGGGACTCGTACGTCCGTGATCAATTGTTCAACTTCTCCGACTACATCTACCAGAACTACCCAGATGCAGACCATCCCAACTGGGCCAACGCATACTATGGCACCAACTATGCTAGACTGCAGTCCATCAAGGCCAGATACGATCCACGCAACTTTTTCAACTACAAGCAATCCGTTGTTCCCAAGAGAAGACCTCATCGTAACGACTACAATGATTCCGATAACGAATCAGACAATGACTACTCTGACTCTGAGTACAACAACCAGGGCTCAGACAACGACGATGATGATCAACAATAAATAATAATATTAGTTCATCAACCAACCAATCAATCAATTATTTGTACATGTAATATAACATTTAATTTATATATTCTATCCATGATGTGTCGTCAGTCAGGACTGTATACCATATTGACGTGAAGATACCTCTTCAAACAATAGTATCTGATGGATCAATGGTAGGTACGCCCTCTTGTTGGGAATATCCTTGTAGGAGTTGTTGATGTTTTGTTGTCCACCATTCTTGGAGTATTCGTACAGTGCCTGGAACACACTCTCTCCCAACGCTGCAATGCAATGAGATCTGAGTGCTTCAATCTTGGTATGATCAAGGTCTTCGTTGTTGTTGTTGCTGCCGCCACTTTTGTGTTCATTGCTAACACTTATGCTTCTCTTGTGATTGCTACTGTTGGCTACAACGTCGGTGACGACATCATCACTACTATCATAGCTGCCTGAACTGTAGCTGAGATTGCTAATGCTGCTGCTGCTACTGTTGTTGCTGTTGCCATGATCCCTCGGACTGTTCATCCCACTATTGCTCCTGTTGATGTTGTGCGTATGTATATGTAGATTGTTGCCACTGTTGCCCAACACTGGTGATCGTACCTCTGGACTGTTGCCAATGTATGAATTGAATAGTTCGACGACAGCATCAAAGTCGCGTTCGTTACGCTCGTCCTGATCGAACTGATCGAGCTGGTCCAATGAGCTTGCTATCAGTTCCAACCTCTTTGAGCTCTTGCGGAACTCCTTGACCAACTGTCTGCCCTCGTTCTTGAGCTCCACCTGGTCCTGGTTTCGCTCATAGCATGGTAACTGTGGACTGCTGACAGATAGCTTCATGTTGTTGGGGTTCTGATTGCTTGGACCCATGACTCCACTGTTGTTGATCACATTGCCATTGTTGTTGTTGAATATACCACCACTGCTACTGATACTATTGACTCCAGTGTTGATGTACAGTCCTCCACCTTGGTGAACATTGTTAATGTTGCTATTGTTGTTGAGGTCAAGATTATGAAGATCATTGTTGATAAAGAGATCAATCTGTAAACGATCAGAGTCGAATGATAGCTTTCTCTCTCTAGTCTCGCGTTCAGCCGGTCTGGAAACCGCTGTCTTTGGTCTGGCCAAATGTAATAGGACTGGCTTCTGAGGAGGTGTGTCTGGGAAGAAATTGCTGTATGATACATTGATATGACTAGGTCCACTTCCATTGCCACTGTTGTTGTTGTTGTTGTTGTTGTTGTTGTTGTTATTGTTGTTATTGTTGTTATCGTCATCATGAACAAGTGGTGCTCTTGGGAATCTTCTATCATAGAGTCTTATTACATCTGGTGAATCTTCTTTGGGACTTGATGTTGGTCTTATATCTTTGATCAAATTCTTTCTATCCTTTGTTGGTTGCTCATTCGTTCCAAGTGAGCCCCGTCGCTGTCTTGACATTGTCTGTGTCAAGTCGTTCATTGTATCATATGAGTATGATGTCTGAATTCAACATGATATGTATGTGTTAGTTCAATTATATAATCCTACTGCAGCCGATGGATCAACATTATATACCTTTGGTCTCATCCAACTTCGAAGTGATGTTGAACTTGTATTATTACTACTGCTACTACTACTATTGTTACTGCTACTGGTACTACTACTATTGCTGTTACTACTACTGTTGTTGTTGTTTGGAATTGGATCATATATATAAAGTGATTGATTGTCATTAGCATCGGATGACTTGTTGAATATATACATTTCGTTTGAGAGTTGTGGACGAGACTTGTTGTCATCCAGTTGCTGATCAAACTCATTGGAAAGTTCGATTCTTTCCCTATTGGCTTGTTGTTGTCGCTTCTGATTCGCTGCTGCACCATGTGAAGATAGTGAAGGAGATGATGATGAAGATGATGATGGCATCGCTGATGAAGGTATCTCCAATAGATTACTACTAATATTGTTTAGCTTTGGTTGTTTCATCGCCACCAACTGATTCTTCTTATCATTCAAATTACTCATACTAGCATGTCTAGGTGTTTGTGTAGGTACCCTATGTTCCGTGTGTGTTAGAACTGCTCTCTCTCTCTTTCTCCATCATCATCATTGTCATCGTCTTGATAAGGTCATACTTTGAAAAGTTTGTCTTTAGAGAGTACTGCATATGTTGTCTGATGAATGGTAGTTGGAAGACCTCAGCCATTGATGGTCTCCTATTTGGTTGTTTCTCTAGGAGGTATGATACCAAGTTACGTATATTCTCAGAGTAATGATTGGATATTGGTATTGGTTCATCCTTGAGTACTTTGTATATGAGTGATGGCATCTCCTTTGCATCGAATGCATGCTTCAACATCAACATCTCATACAGACAGCATCCCAATGACCATACATCAGACTTGAAGTCATACCTATTCCATTCATTCATTCAATGTTAATATCATGACGTAATATTGAGGAGGTGAGGTACTTACGCTTTGTTCTCAAACACCTCTGGACTCATATAGTATGGTGTACCGATCATTGTCTTTGCCATGTCCATTGAGCTGTCCAGTACTCGTGATATACCAAAGTCACCCAACTTTACAATGCCTCTCTTTGTCAAGAATATATTCTGTGTCTTTAGATCCCTATGTATAACCTTCTTCTGATGCATATACAACAATGCCAATGATATCTGTACGAACCAATCAAGTACTTGCTATATATATATATAACATGATTAGTCAATGTGTCAAGGGTCAACTCATCGTTGACAACCCAACATAATACATACACGTTCATCCAAGTGATCTTTGTTGCGTGCCTTTAGTGTAGAGAAGAGATCGCCACCTTCACAAAAGGCCATTATTATGCATAGATGTTGTTTGTCATGGAGGAAGGACTCGTAGAATTCAACGATGTTTGGATGACGTAGATCAGAGAGTAGTCTAACCTCTTGCATCGTCTCTTTGGTCTGTTTCTCGCCCTCCTTCAAGAAGATCCTCTTTTGAACGTATTGCTTCTTATCCACATTATTACGTACTAGAAACACATCGCCATATGAACCACTACCAATCTGTTTGATCATAGAGTACTTCTCCATATTTCCTCTCTCTCTCGTCGTTGCAGTGGCTGTCTCAGTCCCTGCGGAAGTTGTTATTCGTGGTCGACTGTTGTTGTTGTTGTTGTTCCTATGCTGGTTATCAAACTATTGATTGTTATTGTTGTAATGTAGTGTAATGTAGCGTAGTAATAGTAATAATAATAATAAAATATACAGTTATATTTGTTTGTTGTAATGTAGCGCCAATGTTGTGGAGGTGTGCTTCATGATAAGATTTATTTGTTTCAAACAAACACAACACACTCACGAGACGTCATGGAAAGACCCAGAGTTGTGTGTGTGTGATCATGATGAATGAATGAATGAACGCATGTACGTTGGCCATTCTATCAGATCTATTCTCTCTATGATGTGTGTGTGTTGTGGGTTTGGCTGGCGCTAACTCATGAATGGTTCGAACCAACCCGGGGGGAAGGCGATCAGGTGATGATCACATTCCGGAATGTAAACTTTCACATCACTCCAACTCCACGCCTCGACGCACAATGATTCGTTCAAAGCTTGGAAGATCCCAACTTGAGAGATTGTTCAACCTCTTCGAATGCTCTCTTGCCAGTCTGAAGTGCACCATTGATCGTTGCCATCTCGAACTGAGTGGCCGTGGCCTCTCCCGCAAAGAATATCTTGTCGGAAACTCTCTGCATTGTGGTGACGATGATGATGACGTGTGTTAGATAATGGGCGAGAAWTGAAAAAAAATGATTGGTCATCCACTCACCTTGGCCAAGATTAAGTTGGGTTCATCTTGAACTGGTGAGTCGGCTGGGATGACACATGGGAAGGAGTAGGCACCACGTACGAATGGGTTCTTCTGCCAGTCGTAAACAAAGTGTCCAATGTAGTTTTGGCTGGCTGGTGTCCAGTTGCCAACAACGCCAAACATTGCATCAAGTTGGTCGAGGAATGCACGGACTGCCTTGGCCTCTGGCAGTGCAGCCATTGAGCGTGCCTGGTCTCCAGTGATGAATCCGACGGCTACAAACTCTGCTGGTGATCCAGCTGGAACAGGACGCTTTGGTGCGCCATCCATCCAGACCTGGGGCACGGGACTATCGGCACAGAGCACGAGCTCCAGATTCTGCGACCAGAACTTCTCCTTGAACTTTAGCAATATCTTCATGCCTCCATCCATTTGCATGACCTCCAGAGCGTCATTCTTCTCTCTTGGCAGCTCTGGTTCGAACTTGATATCCTTCTCCTTGAGCACAGTGAGTGGAACACAAACAGCCACCTTCTTTCCCTGGACGACCTGTCCATCATACGAAGAGATACTTGTAACACTACCAGTGTAGTCAATTGACTTGACCCTCCAATTTGTCCTTATTTCCAGATCCTTTGATAAATAGTCCACAAGTACCTTTGATGACTTTTGCAACTTGAAGTTCCTCGGTTCCAAATGTGCCTTCTTGTCCTCAATGCATGCTTGCTACAAATGGGAGTAGGGAGGGGTAAGGGTAAGGGTTAGGGCAAGGGCAAGGGCAAGGGTAGGGCAAGGGCAAGAGCAAGGGTAACATACTCTAAGTCCAATTCGATCAAGGTTTGTACCCCAGGTCTTTGAGTAGACAGCATCGGCAAGACCAATGGCACGGAAAGGTACACCTTTAGAGGCAAGATGTTGCATGAGGTTGATGTGCTTGGGTGGCAATGGTGTGATGTCGGACAATGCCTCCAACTCTGTGAAACACTTGATCATGTCATCATCGATCTGGTCCTGACTGACAAGACGTCGTTCACGACCCAGATAGAAGTATGTGCAGTTCCTGCCTTCTTCATCATGGAACAGTGTCTCGGGGAACACTTCAAACGTCTCCCAACCCTGCTCCTTTGCCATATTATAATATAGTGTATCTGCACCATGTATCATTTCACCGCCCAATTCAACAGGCCATTGAGTGAATGTAGTATTTACACGTGTTCTACCACCAATAATACTATTGGCCTCCAATGTCAATACAGAGTATCCAACATTCTTTAACAGTCTAGAACAATGTAATCCAGCTGCACCTGCACCAACCACTATAACATCATATATCATTATTATCTAGTCTAGTATCCTTGTCTTGTCTAATCTTGACTTATAAGTAATATATATATTTCTATTATTTGTAGATGTGTTTGTCACTTGTCTTGCTTGATTGTACAATCAAACATCGTAAATGGTTGGGCAGACCACCAAACGATTGTTGGTCCAGGATACCATCTCTTCCCACCTGCACCAGGTTCTGATTTGTTAATTTTTGTTCAAATCAAAAGACTTAGAAGTTTCATGACCTTCTACAAAGTAATCTGTGTTCTCACAAGAACAAATAAGATAGATATCTACTATATATCTTGATACTTATTATCTGTGTGCAATGTCACTTATCTTATCTGAATGATCAATGAATGAATGAATGAAACATTGTGTATTTGTCACATTCTAATACGTGTTCCAAATTGATCGTCATGATGAAATGCGATCTTCGTCTTTGAACACACATTTTGTTTGAAAGTGATACAATTTATTTGTTATAAAAGAGAGAGATATATAATATATAAATAGATTGGAACAATGACAGACCTATATACTATACCACAACCATTATACTTTGATAAGAAGTCTGGTATGTCACACGATGAGTTCAAGATTGCCATCGAAGTGTCTACAACAGTCTATGTAGGATTCCTCTCATTCTACACAACCGAAGAGCAACTCTATGAACTCTTCTCAAAGTGTGGAGAGGTCAAGAAGATAGTCATGGGTTTGGACAGAATACAAAAGACTCCCTGTGGCTTCTGCTTTGTAGAGTATGATCATCACGTCAACATCTCATTCCCTTGCTTAACTTACTCATTCACTCAATCACGATCAATCAATACATAGATACTATTCTAAAGAGGATGCAGCAGATTGTATAAAGTATATTAATGGAACAAAGTTGGACGATAGGTTGATTCGTTGCGATTGGGACTATGGTTTCAAGGAGGGAAGACAGTATGGAAGAGGTGTTAGCGGTGGTCAGGTGCGTGATGAGTACAGAACAGATTATGACCCAGGTCGTGGAGGCTATGGCAAGCAGAAACTGGTCGAGATCGAACATGGTGTACCAGAGTATGATCAACAGGCCGCTCAAGCGGCACCTCCTCAACAACAACCACAATTCAAGAAGCGTGTTCGTGATGACGATGTCGACGATGGCTCAAAGAAGAGTCAGAGCAGAGAGAATGTAAGTTAGTCTGCAGTACTCATGTACATATACATGATCATTGTTCTCACTCATTCATTCATTCATTCACTCAATCATAGAATGGCAAGAGTGGCAGGTTTAGAGAGAGAGATGAACCAGACGAAGACGATTAAGCGAATAAAGTATAAAGACAGAGAGGACACACATAAGGACGAGTATATCGAGTCAATAGTGTCCTCCTAGAGGACATAGTTTATTGGTACAGAGTGTGCCCTCCCATGCAGGGGAGAGCTATAAATATGGCGATGTTTGTATGAATGAATGATATGATGAGCGAGACGGGTCGATCGATCACTTGCTGATCGTACCACTAACAGTGTACAGATTGATGGTGAAGACAAAGCTACCTTCCTCCTCCATCTTCTCGAGCTCTTGACGCCACAGAATGTAGTCGTCCTCACTAATCACGTTTTGTTGGACGGCCATCTTGCCTCGCTCACCAAGCCACAGCAGCTCATCAGCTTGTGCCAGTGTGTCGGTAAACAGACACTGCGCAAACATGTCGAGCTCCACTATCTTCTTGGTCCTGGACATGTGCGCTCTGATGTGGCGTCCGACCGAAGGGTTTGGATTGAAGACGACACCCCTGGTGATTGCATTGTTGATGCGCTCACCCGACTCGGTCTCCATGGAGATTGTTGATGACCACCAGTCAATGTCTGTGATCGATATCCTTCCACCAGTCTTTGTCACTCGTACCATCTCCTCGATGACTTCGGATGGCTGTGGCACATGTTGTAGCAGTCTCTCACATCGACAGGCATCAAAGTAGTCTTCGGCGAATGGTATGGCAGTGGCGTTGGCACACAGGACCGACACATTGGGTAGGCTACTCATTCTTGCGTTGGCACACTCGACCATCTCCTTGGAGATGTCCAATCCGACCACCTCGCCTATGCTCTCGACCATTGATTCCAGACGTGAGAGGTCCTTTCCGGCTCCACATCCAACATCAATCACCTTCATACCAGTATCCAAACGAAGTTGTTTGGTTGAATATTTAGTATGAGCTATGATCTGGTCCTCCTTTGTAACCTGGTCTACATATTGTATATATTTGTTTGGTGCCTCTGAGTTATCAATTGACATCCATCCAGTGGTCTCCTTTGATTGTTGACATTCATCAGTTGGTTGTGAATTAATGAATGGATGAGTGATTGGTATTTCTTCAATTGATTCCATTATTATTATTATTAATAAATAAATATATATTTTATGATTATCTAATAAATAAATAGTTTGATAGAATTTGATTGGATTGGAGTAGTGTTAATTAATATGTAACCATTGTTATAACAACTAATTAATATTGTGTATATCACATCTTGTCAACCATCAATCAATCATTCTGAGTCGGTCAGTACTGACCTACTGCCCCATCCATGATCATGTGTCCTTTCATCAAGGAAAGGAAACAGTTAGAGCACATGATTGTCAATCAATCAATCAATTGACATATACTTCCATAGGTCATGGAGTAGTGTTGGTAATACAATATGTTGGTTTGGTCGACTCTATCAATCCACCACAACTCGTTCAAACATCATCAATCCCATCCATTGTTTGTCATTTATTAATGTTCGAATATGACATCGTATATATGTGTGTGATTGTGTGATTGAGATATATATAACTGACTACAAGTACGAGTGTGAGATTAAGTGATGAGATTGTGTTTGGGTGAGGTAGTGGAGTATGTGTGTATTGGACAACGAGGTGGAAGGGCATTTGGAACTTGACATCTTTGGTTTGAAGTTGTGATTGTTGTTGGTGAGGGATGTTGGACATCGATGGGTCACAAACGAACAATCATAACCATCAACAACATATTGTCATTATGAACTTACCTTGAATTAAAAGAGTACAAGGGTGGAGGGTATGAATAAATATTTTATATATATATAAATAAATCTAATATACAACAAGGTTAAATAAATATTATTATTATTATTATACAGGTAATAATGATTAGTTGACTGGATTGAATTTGTTAATATATATAGAGTGGATTAGAGTAGTTTGAATTCCTTGACAATTTGGACCTGGGTTTGGAATTGAATCAATAAACAACTGTCAGCTGATATGTATCAGTTCCCCAAACATTTATAAACACTCCAATGTCGAGGCGTCATTCAAGTATTTATGAACTGATGTAATCAATTATATTTGTCACACAGTTATCAGCTGTTATACGTGGGGTGATGATCATGGTCCATCCATCAAACTCCTCATCACTCAATCAATATCACACTCAAGCACTCACACGCTCAGGCCATTATTCTCAAATACATGATGATAATAATGATGTTGATGATGAGCTGGCTTCCCACTTACTTAAGTGGTGGGTGTTAAATAGATATATACCTATAGATCAATCAATCAATTACATATTTGCCTATGCACCAAATTGAGAGAGATAAAACAAAACAGTTAAAGGAGGTTAATTAATTAAATGATACGGACTCGAGATTGGCCGCAGCTCATTCTCGTGGAACCTTGGTTGTTGTTACCAATACTCGCCTAACTCCCAAATTGGTAAGGATTGTCTATTTGATTGATTCAATATCTAAAAGATATAGATGTGATTTGATGTGATATATCATTTGATCTGATTTTTCTCAAGTTGATGTATATAAATATATATGTATGTTTATTAATACAAATAATAATGTATGTATGGATAAAAATAATGAGGAGGAGAATGAGGAGTAGATGTTGCTCGAATATGCCATATTTAGATAAAGTAAGAAGAACCATATTGACCAGAGGCATGGAAGACGTTTCCAACCTCTCGAGTGATTGTCTGGCCAATGTTGGTGAGACTACGTGTCAGTTTACCCTTTCTCTGGCCTTGATCTACAATATTCTTGTCTGGCACATCATCCAATACAATGTCCTTCTCCTTGAAGTTGATGTTACTGATGGTAGCCTTTCTTCTTGGACCATTGGTGTATGATCTCTTCCTTGATATATCCACAGGGTTGGAAGATGAAGACTTTGTAGTTGATGCACGTGGTCTCTCATCTGCTGACACTGTAGGTAGGTCACCAGCACTCTTGCTTAGATGCTCATTCAATTGAATAACCTTTGTTGATCTCTTTCTGGTAAATGTCATCTTTCTATTCATGATGCCTGGTTCCAAACTGGCACCAAGTGTTGAGCCCGACTTTGGTGTCTGCAATGATTGACTGAGAGAAGTGTGTCCACCAGGCATCAGAAGATTGTTATTATTATTGATTGTACATTCAGTTGTTGATCTTGATCCACAATCATCTTCAACAATGATCATTGGTGCAGATTGATTTAATTGAATATTATTAATGTTGTTTGTTGGTGCATCTGAACTAGAATTGTCAGAGACAACTAATATTGTTGGAGTTGATGTTATTGTTGGTGTTGATTGAGTTGGAGGTGTTACTGAAGAGACTTCAATCTTTATATTATTATTATTATTATTTTTGTTTGATTCTGAATCAACTTGTACTGTTGTCGTTGTTGGTGTGGTTTGTCTGATATGTGCAGGTGATGAAGATGTCAATGCAGAAGGATTGGACTCTGCTATGAACCTTGGACCAGATCTCTCAAACTCTGGGGTGACCTCAACTTTTGAGTTCTTCCTTCTAAGTTTCTTAGATGATGAGTTTCCCATTATTATTAGATATTGTTATAAATTATTATTTGTAATAATATAATTGGTGGATTATTAAATTAAGAATATATATAATATGTAGATTGATTGATTGATTTATTTAACAAACAAAACGATAATATTGGAAAATTACAATAGTATTTGTACTTGTAGGAGTTGGATGTAGTACTTTTTGTTTGTTTGATTGAATGAATGTTCAAACAATTAGTGATTGAGATGATGTATTAATAACTTGTGTCAAGTGACACAGGAAATTGGACGTCCTAGAACTCTATAACTTGTGTCATTCAGGCAATCAATCCATACAACAGACAGAATCACACTCCATGTTGACAAATTCTGATAGTTGTGTATGAAAGGTTATGGATGGAGGTGGTGATGGTTCTGGCGATGTAGTTGGCGGATCATAAAATACACACACTTACAGTGCCCCTTTATTAAATTTATACCCAATACTATGTTTAATCAATCACACATTCATTCATACACTCATACACACACAACACTCGACATAACTATGTTCATAGCAATACAAGTCATCAAACACAACACTAACACTCAGAAACTCATCTAAATGATTGGAATATTGAAGGGGTGAGTACCATTGCATGCAAATGACACACAGCAAAACACACACACCAATTTGATGATCAAAAGACACCAATTCACCACCAATGATCATGAAGCACACAATCATAGTCGCCATACCTGTTGACAATCAATATTATTATAAAACGTACACACACTCAAACGTTCATCTTGAAGAAATGTCATTTTAGATATAAATAACTAACACATGTCGACGACCGAAGATTTGATTGATTGATTGATTTGAACATCCAGTCAATATATGCCAAGTTACCTTACATTAATATTCTCAAGAGTCAGAAGCATAGTGCTCACTTCGAAACTGGAATGCAAGAATGGAGGAGGGGAGGAAAGGGGGAAGGCCAAGGTGACATGAAATGGAATAATGATCTTTATGGCATTGGGTATGGCATGGGAATGCCTTAAGTATGTGTCCTCTAAAAGGCTTCAAACCTATTGGGAAGTTGGTTGATTGGTTGGTATGATTGATTGAATGTGATTGATTGATTGAATTTGATTGGTTGAGTATGTGTTGAGTAGTTGTAGTGGTAGGACTTTTAGATCACCATAGTTCTGTTCTCCTTGTCATCAAATGCATCAAACTCATTGTCAGAGTCTGAGAAGAAGGAGTCGTCATTGCCCTTTTTGGTGGCGGACTTGGTGCTGGGACGTCTCTCTGGTGATTCTTGGTGGACGACGTTCTTGAACTTGTTCTTGAGAGCAACTGCGATAAAGTCCTGTGTAGAGAGCACTGACTTTTGCTGGTTGGTGATGTCACGCACGGGAGTGCCACCTGGCGAACGAATGATGTCTGACTTCTTCAGGGTCACCTTCTGGCCCGATCTCAAAAGGTCACCGATGGACAGAGCCTGCTTGGTTGGTGTGCCGGCTGGCATCTGACTGGATCTGATCACGCCCTCTGCAGTCTTTTGCATCTTAAAGTTGGTGGGCTTGTACATTGGTGGCAAGGGGGGTGGGGGTGGAGGTGGGCAAGCCTTGCCAGGTGCCGCTGCGGCGGCTGGAGCCATTCCACTGTTTGTCGTTGACATTATTCTTGCAATCTCCTCACGCAATCTGGACAACTCATTCTCCAAGTTCTTAACCTTTTCAGTTCCAGGTGCACCAACTGTTGTTGTTGTTGTTGTTGTTGTGGACGTTGATGTTGGAGGGGATAATACTACAGTTGGTGTTGATGTGGCGGTGGTGGTAGGGATTGATGGTGTAGAGGATGATACAGGAATGTTGAAGGAGTAGGCAGTATCGTTGATGATACTTCCAGTGCTGGTGCTGCTGCTGTTGTAGTACTTGCTACTGTTGCTTAGCTTGGGTGTGCTCCAACTACGTCTGAGTGACATGGATATTCTTTGAAAGATACCATTTCTACGTCTGATGTATCTGTTGAATTGATCGGGGAACGCTACTACCACGTCGTAGAACGTTATCAATGAATAACCCGTGAGCTCAAAGAATGTGAATCCAAGCTCCATCATATTTGACACAATGTTATCGTTATTGTAATGTATAATATGTTGTCTATTGTTCTGTCTTTGTTGTTGTTGTTGTTGCATAATGAATGGATGGCTGGTCCTCCTTGCTCACTCCTAATAAGTTATGTGTGTATATGTAATATATTGAGTTAACAACTAACAAACTATAGTATGATACACAATGGACAACAACGCGACTGAGTGTGGTGTTGATCAAATCAACCGTTAAATATAAAAACAGTTTGAAAATGTTGTGGCGCCTTGTTCAAATTTTTGAATTCAAATATTTCAAACGGGTGTGATGGAGGACATGTGCGGCAGACTCGTCAGACAGTTTTATGTATCCTTGTATCGAATATTTGATACCTGACATTCTCTGGAAGTGGCTCATTGTTGACATAGTATGATACCAGACAACAATAGAATGCTGATCCATTCTTGAGTGTTGCAATCTTTGATTCCAACTGTAATAGTGCTGCCTTGTCCGTGTACAAGTTCTCAGCAGGTGCTCCAAAGAACTCATCCTGAATAAATATATGTGTTAGATATATTGGTTTGATTGTGGATGTTTGATTGATATACTCACAGCATGTTGTCCAAAGAGTATCAATGGAATGGTACCAGTTTCATCTTCTAGGATAAGCTTCATGACGTATGCCATTTGGATGGTGTTTTGTTTCTTGCAGAGTGGACAGTTGCTCACCGAATCGATCATATGTGAAGGGAACTGTGTGTCAAAGAATGACTTGCATTCATCACAATAAGGTCTTGTAATCTGTTGAACATTCATTGGAATGTGTTGTATCAGTTTGGCCAATATCTTGTACTTGCATGGTACCTGGTTTGGATTAATTGATTGTTAATCATTATGTTTGGTTGATCAATTATTAATCACTCACCTTTGCATCTGGAGATATTATTTGACTGATGTTTGTGATTGGCTTGCTTGGATACTTGATCTCTGTTAGAGTCTGAAGTGGTACCAATCTAATATTGTTGTTGTTGCTGTCAACATCCATGTCTGATGATGATTGTGCATATCTTCCAATTTGTCTAGTATAGTCAGCAACTCTTGCTGAGTGGTAGCTGTTGATTGATTGGAGGTTAGTATGAGTGTACATGTTACAAGACTCTTGCCCTTCCTTCATACATACCCTTGTATCTGTTGTACAATTGGATTGTTTGGTTCGAGTATAGTGAATATTGATTCTTTGTTCATCTTGAGCTCCATTTGATGATTGTAGATGTTTGGTCGAACCTTGCGAACCATGATCCACTCGTCAGAGAGACTGTCCATGCCTGTGAAGTGGATGTTCTCCCATGACAACAGGGTGAGCGTGACACCCAGACGATGGCCCTCTCTGGTGTTCCTTAGGAACTCATAGCCCTCGCCACTGCCATCCCACAGGAGCAGCTTCATGCATTTGCCATTGATGCCCAGTATGTGATCCTTGGAAAGTACACGAGCCACCACATTGATCAGACCAGAGTTGATGGTGATGTCGCCCAATGCAGTGCGATTGACAATGGGACCAGCGGCCACACTACTACCCATTGCCCTTGCACCACCTCCAACACCACCAGCCACTGTCTGTGGGATATTGTCCGCTGCCAGGAACATGTGCTTGCATTCGCGCCAAATCTCTCTCAAGCGTCTGATGTGGGCCTCGTCAATGGCAGTGAATGTGTACGAGTTTGTTCTGCTGACGGGATGGATAGGATCGCGTTCAACACCAGGAATATACACCATTGTAAAGTGATTGTGACTATCATCCATGTTACCAAATGCTGTCAATGAGCTGTACTCCTTGTTAATCTAGATGGTTTGGTTGTCGTCGGGTCAATGAATGGTTGATTGATTGATTGAGTATGAATGAACATACCCTCGCCCTATGAAGTCTGACTATTGTTCCATCCTTTAGTACTGCAGGATCAAAGTAGTTGCGAAAGAATAGGTTGACATTGACCTTGTGATCTGGTGAGTCGCCCACCACAAGGCTAACGCATTTGTCTGTGTTTGATGATAATGATGATGTTGTTAGTTACTCAAGACGAATCAACAATTCAATTAAACCAACAGTTATGATCATACCTGTTCCTTGTGTTGGTTTGGCAGGTGAAGTTCTAATCACGAATGCATAGATATTGCATTGTACATCATGTACCAAATCTGCAATTGGTGTATATTTGTAAGTCTAGATAATGACAATGACATGGTATAAGTAAGTACTTGATATCAGTATCTTGGACTTTGACTTATCAATACCTTATTCTTTATGTTGTTAACATTGTTGGCGTGTATCATTTTTGAAGAGTGATGTAAACATTCGTGTTCGACACGACTCTTATCTGTTTGTTGTTGTTGTAAAGCAAAGTCAAATTCTTCTAACTTCACACACATCTGATCAGTTCATCCATTTCATTTGAACTACAGCACTAACGACTAAAAAAACAAAGATAGAGATAGATAGAGAAAATGGCGGATACAGACATGTCTACTACTACTCCTGCTTCTGCTGCTGCTACTGTTGATACAAGACATCAACATTTGAATAATGCTCTGGGCAGTGATACCTTTGCAAAGGTTAGATCAGCAAAGGTGTTGGTCGTTGGTGCTGGTGGCATTGGATGTGAGCTACTGAAGAATCTAGTTCTATCAGGCTTCAAAGATATACATATTGTAATGTATACCAACTCTCGATCCAAGTGATGGACATCGAGCTAACATTCAATCATTCATCACAACAGATTGACTTGGACACAATCGATCTGAGCAATCTAAACAGACAGTTCTTGTTTAGAAAGCATCATATTGGAATGTCAAAGGCAAAGGTATGTCAATATCACTCAGGTTGCAACAGTCATGCTCTAACACAATGAATGAATGAATAGATCGCAAGAGAATCAGTGTTGAAATACGCCAACAGTGATGATGTATCGATTATTGCTCATCATGCGGATATTAAGACGACAGAGTTTGGACCAAACTACTTTGAACAGTTTGATCTTGTTATGAATGCTTTGGACAATCTGTCAGCTCGTCGTCATGTCAATCGTGTGTGTCTGTCAGTCAATGTGCCTCTGATTGAGAGTGGCACCGCTGGATACTTGGGCCAGGTGACGGTGATTCGCAAGGGACTCACTGAGTGCTTTGAGTGCACGCCAAAGGTGCCACCAAAGGAGTTTGCCGTATGCACCATCCGATCAAACCCTTCGGCACCCATCCACTGCATCGTCTGGGCCAAGATGTTGTTTGGTCGTCTGTTTGGTGTGCCCGACGACACCAACGCCGTCACAGACATGAGCGACAACGTGGTCGAGGGCGACGTGGCCACCGGAACAGCGATTAGAGACGAGCTCCTGCCTCAGGAGCAAGCCAAGGGCTACCATCAATGGGTCTTCCACAAGTTGTTCCACACTGATATCGATCGATTGGCACGTATGGGCGACCTGTGGAAGGAGCGCAAACCTCCCGTCCCCCTACTGCTGGCCAACATTGACACGATGGTCGACGGCGAGTCACAGTCCACCCAGACACAACAAAAGAAGACGGCACTCAAAGATCAGATCGTCCTGTCATTCAAGGAGAACGTGCAGTTATTCATCGACACAATCAACAAGCTCAAGCTGCGCAACGAGCAAGAAGGTCACCTCACATGGGACAAGGACGATGACATGGCACTCAACTTTGTCGTGGCCGCTTCTAACATCCGCTCACACATCTTTGGCATTCCTACCAAGTCCAAGTTTGACATCAAGGCAATGGCTGGCAACATTGTGCCTGCAATCGCCACAACCAATGCCATCATCAGTGGTCTCATCGTCATGGAGGCTTTCAAAGTATTGGGTGGACGTTATGATCAATGCAGGAGTGTAAGTCCCAACCAACCTCAATCACAATCAATCAAACAACTTACTAATGATGCATGCATCCACCCATCCATCACCCAGACCTACCTCTACAAAGTTCCATCAGGAAAGAGACTTTTGTTGCCAGCCGAGTTGGACAAACCCAAGGCAGATTGCTATGTTTGCTCGCAGAAGTTCATCACACTCAAGATCAACACACTCAAGACAACGTTGGCACAGCTCGTGAATGATGTATTGAAGAAGGCATTGTCATTCCACGATCCAATGCTGACTGTCGGCGCCAGTCTTCTCTATGAAGGTGGCGATGAAGACTTGACCAAAGAGGAGATTGAAGCAAGGAACAAACTGGAACAGAAGATCATCGCAGAGTACAAGATGCCAGACAACACCATCTTGAATGTCGAGGATTATTTACAGAACTTTAAGGTGTCCATTTTGATCAGTCATTGGTAAGTTACATCGTGATATGATTGATTGATTGATTGATTGTCTGACACACGCACATATATATAGTGAGACGTTCGAGTCTGAGGAGAAGTGGTTCGATATCTCTGGCAAACAACCAGTTCCAGGTGAAGAGAAGGCTGTCCAGACTACTACCACGACAACTACAACAACAACTGCCAAAGTGGGAGATCAAAAGATTGATTTGGATGATGTTGAAATCATCGAGAGTATTGATGTTGCACCACCATCTACAAAGGAGCCAGTTACCGAGACCAGGACACATAAACGAAAGGAACAGGAGCCAGACGAACAACTCGATAACAAGAAGCAGAGGCAATAATAAATCAAACTTGAACTTCAGCATCACTTCCCAAACTTTGTGAAGATCATACATTTTGATGAATCACATGATTGATCATTCATTCATTTAGATTGCATTCCAAAATGATATCAATGAGATACATCAACTTGGCACTGGTTATCACCAGTATCAAACTGTTGTTGATACCATCATAGTAGGTCATCATGATTGATCAGGAGTCAGCTCAAAGACAATGTCTAACACATTCAATCAATTAAACAATGAATGAATCATTAGTTATAGCACAGACTTTGAGGTACATCGCAATTGGTTGGCAATCACATCATCATTGCCAGTGTCTAAATGGTATATTGAGGCCACCTCTGAGTGGACACTAGACTATCCACCATTCTTTGCATGGTTTGAATATGTACTCTCAAGAGTGGCACCATTGTTTGATGCCAAAATGCTCATAGTAGACAACCTAAACTATCATTCACCAATGACCATCGTATTCCAACGTCTATCAGTAATCACCACCGACCTCCTCTTCCTTGTGTCAGCCTATCTCTTGTCCAAGACACTCGGTTCTTCGATCACATCACACTCCTCCACCTCCTCATCCTCCAAGCCAACAACAACAACAACACCATTCTACCAAGATCCAAGCTTCATCTTGTATGGCATCATGATACTGAACCCTGGACTGTTGATGGTGGATCACATTCATTTCCAGTACAATGGATTCCTCAAGGGTATCATGTTGCTATCACTGTACTTCATGGCAAGTGGACACCCCTTGCTTGGTGGCATTGTCTTTGCCACATTGCTCAACTTCAAACACATCTACATGTACCTGGCACCAGCATACTTTGTCTACCTCTTGATACACTATTGCTTTGGCTCATCGGCACGTCTGTCCAGCTTCAACATTACCCGCTTCATAGCATTGGGTGTGTCTGTACTCGCAGTCTTTGCAATCTCACTAGGACCCTTTATCATCTACCAACAGATACCCCAACTTATCTCACGTCTCTTCCCATTTGGTCGTGGTCTAAGCCATGCATACTGGGCGCCCAACTTCTGGTCACTATACAACTTTATTGATCGTCTGTCTCTCTTTGGTATGTGTGCTGTACTACAATTGTAAATCGCGCGCTAACTAACAATCAACCAACACACTACTTTTTATAGTTGGCAGCAAGTATCTTGGATGGCAGATTACTAGTGAGCAGGGTATGCTTACAAGTGGATTGGTTGGAAGTGATACTCAAGCACATGTAATATTGCCAGCAATCACACCAGGCATCACTTTGGCAATTACAGTGCTATCATTGTTGCCTTCACTTTGTGGAGTGGTTCGCTCAAACAAGATGACAGCCTTCATACTTGGTGTTACTCAATGTTGCTTCTCCTTCTACATGTTTGGATGGCATGTACATGAGAAGGCCATCATCATGGTGACCATCCCACTTACGTAAGTTACCCCGGGTTGGCCAAGCAATCATCACACGGAACCATCCCACTTACACATTCATCAATCAATCAGCTTATTATGTTTGGAGAATGTCAAGTTTGCCAGACTCTATTTTGTGTTGTCAACTATTGGTCATTACTCACTTTTTCCATTGTTCTTCACGAACAAAGAGATAGTTGCAAGAGCATTAATATTGTCAGTGTACACTTGTTCATTATATTATATATTGACAATGTACTATGACAACAACAACAACAACAACAACAACAAAAAC